CAAGTTCTCGAGCTTATTATGCATTACCTAATGAAAACTGGGCCAGGACCAAGGACCAAGGACCAAAGGAGGCGGCCGCCTAACAGAACTGGCAGCCGCGTAAGCAAATAATAAATAAATAAATAAACGAAAAGCGCAAATAACATTTGAGAGCCAGATTTAATTTCTAACGTTGAGTGCGCATATTAAAACAGGCTGGATGGGTCTGGTGGAGATTTCGGATTGTGGCTGGGAATCGCAGGGGGAAAAGGGGCGAAAGCAGACAAAAGGCGGAGGAATCCTGGCTGCGAGCAACAAACAAAGATGATGCGGATATCGCCGAGCCCGGTCTGGTGTCGGTGTCTGTGGATATTATTCGGATGTGGATATGGAAGTGGATGTGGAAGTGCAGCGGAAATGCGGGATTCCGGGATACCGGGACTGAAGGTCTTCCCAAACCCCATGTGCCTGCGGGGACGGGTGGTGTATAAAAATAAACAATCAAAGCGGGCGGCAGAAGGCGTAATAGAAGTTGGCGTGAGTAAACAATGAATTACGGAATCATGAAAGCAAATTGACTTTAATGCAAAAATCAAATATTTACACAGCGCGGATACGGGACGAGGACAGTGGTTGGGGAAGCGGGTTAGAAAAATGAAAGAGCGAAAGAGGTGGCAGTGCAATTGCAAACCCATGCCGAAAGAGACGGCACTAGACATTCCCAGAGACAAAGGCAAACAAACAATCCAAATGCAAGAAAGAACGCATACAAATTGAGGTTATGTTAGACGTTCTGGATGCGAGCTCTTTCCAAAATTTGTTTCGGCACTTAAATGCCAATGCATACAAGCCCGGAATACAGACTCTTTTGAAAGCTTAGATTGGGCTTCACTGAAAAAAAAAGTTGAAACAAGTTCTTCGTTTCATCCCCTTTCCGGAAAACTAAATTTTTAGATAGTTTTAAATGACGATTATTATTTATTTTACCAAATAAAATTACATTATTTTTATTTAAAAGATTCGTGTGCGGCACAAAGCTGCACAAAAAAATCAAACCTCACCGAAGACGAAAAATATTTAAAATAATACCAATAGCTAATCGAAAATTTTATGTTTTTAAACTTATTTTTACAGAAACCTTAAGCCGCTCTTTTTTAACATGATCATAAGAGGGTAAATACATTTTTGTTGTATATTTTTTTCTCTGCAGAAAAACTAAGTAAAGTCTGTTGGACAAAGAGGTCAGCCGAGGTTTAAATGGCGGGTCTGCGGCGCTTCCGGTTTTCGAGCGAACGTTATTAGCTCACTGGATGTGGATGCGGTCTGGCACGGTCAGAATTTTACGATTTCATTCATTTTTGTGGTTGCCATTTGACGCCGCAAAATATGCAACAAAATTTTATTTACCAGAAATAAGCATCCGAGACCATGGCTGCGTTATAAATAAAATTATAGAAACTAATGTGCAATGCTTTTGGAAGTGAGAGGGCAAAACACTTAAAGGCATTTGGTTACTCATTGCAATTTCCCAAAGAATTTCTCAATTAGAACACACGCTTCAGAAGGGAGTTCGTATGTAATAAAGCACGAAGCAGAGTAAAGGCAAAAACGTTAGCGTCGACAAAAAAAAAACCGAATAGAGTGCGGTAAAATTGGGTGAAAGAGGAAACATCACACAAATCTGAAAACCATAAAAGTGTCGCTTTCAATTGTTACCCCAACTTCGATCTACAGGCGACAATCGAAGCCAACAAGTGAAATTGAAACGTTCCATGGATAGTGTGGAGTCCTGGAAAGGGATATGTGGAGAGAGGGGTAGCTGAAAAGGGAACAGGATGGATGAGGGTGCTCTAAAAACTCACAAACACAGATTGATGATGATGAAGTATGTGTGCCTGCAACTGTGTGGCAGAATGCTCAGCGAGATTTTTTTATCTCGCTTTGGGTTATACAAGTTTTTAAATGGAGCTTGTGGCTCCAGAAAAAAATGAATGAATAGTGAAAAAATTTTAATTTTAATTAATTATTAATTAATTATTATTATTTGAAGAACGAAAGAATTTAATGATAACAATGAAAAGTAAGACAAAACATTAATACATTGGCTTTTGCCTAAAAATGTTGTTTTCTAATAATTTATACTATTTGCATTTTTAAAGTTGAAAATGGATGAACGTTCTATTTCTACTAAAAAGGTATCGATTACTGAAATCGGTTAAGTAAAACTGGAGATAAAAAATTTAAAAAAAAAACGTAAAAACAAGTGAAAAGCAAACAACTTTTAGTGTAACTTTTTAAATAAAAGGGTCCAACTGTACCGGAAAATCAGGGTTTGATCTCTAAAGGATTTTGAAGATTAAAATTTGTATTGTACACTTGAAGGGTATCTTATAATGTGAATAATCCCTAGTCATTTGTTTTTCGAATCGCGCGCTACTGTCTTCCTTACTTTATTACTTTCTGAACTGAACTGAATGATGCCTCCGATGATTGACACCCCGCCCGGCAATAAATTTTTAATTTTCAATGCTCCCCGATAGACTGATGGTCTGATGGACCCACCCATCCTAACATGCCCGCATCTCCGCCTTCGGTGAGCTTGTTAAATTCAAATTAGAACGATGCCAGGAGCTGCGTTCTATGCGAGGACTTGCCGCTGACAGCGAAGATAAATGACAGAGAACTGCGATCGCAACAAATTAACCTTGTTAGAGGCACAGGCAAAGTCGGAACCCGGACATAACTCCGGAGTAGTGGAACCGGCAAGGACTCGGGCCCGAGGACACCAGTTACAAGTGTATGTAATTTTTTATCGTCTACGACTTTCGACTCCATTCGCACAGACGACAACTGACTTATGAATGGCGTGTGCCAGTTGAGTTGAGACCATGCACTCAAAATATTAATTTACTTAGTTTTGAAAGTCAGATTAAAGTTTTCTTTACAAAACAAAATGTTAAGTAGGAGAAAATATATATCCTATATCAGCAGCATTTATAGTTTTTGAACGAAGAAAAAATTTATATATAAATACATTCACTGAAATATTATAATTTTATTATAAATTAATAATATTTTCGGATATTTGGCTAATACATTTGGAAACTTGTATATTTTTCTTAGATAACATAAAACAATTCCATTTTTATATGCGAACATACTATTATAATTAGAATTAGTTTTTAAACAAATTCTACAACAAAAAGTTTGTTTTATTTTGTAAAACAGTTTTAAGATGTTGTTTTAGATTGAAAGTTAAACTTTTTTTTTTAAGTGTAAAGGATATGCTGCTACTGCCACTGCTGGGAGTCGATAAATCAGTTTGTGTATCAAATTGAATTCACGAGCGTGCACTTGACACCAACCCACACACATTTATCAGCCGGCGAATCCTGTGAGGCATGAACTTTAATTCGGCCTGGTTGGAGAGCCACAAAATTTTAATCTCAACTAAGAGCTCACTAAAATAAAAGCCATCGGCGGCGTGCATTATAAATTATTCATTACGAAATCGCAACCGCGACACGCCCCCATTTTGTTTTTTTGCCAAGTAAATGAACGCCTGCCGCTGACGGGCGCTCGTTTGCACCTAATTTGATTTTTAGTTGCTGCTTCTTTTGGCGGCGGGTCTGCGGTTGGTTCTCTTGGCATTCCTTTCTCAGCTGCTATATCGCCACCACCCCACCCAGGAAACCATCTCGCAGATACTTTCTCACAGATACAAACACCCGCACGGAAAAGGACTTGGTAGCGCTTGCCATCGCCGCATCCTGTTTTCTTTTCATTCATTCTAGCGGCTGGCTGTCGAAAAAATGTCTGTTATGTGGCTACAGAATTTTGCAGTAATTAATGGCAACTGTTTGATTAAAAAATTCCATGGTATCTTCCTATGCAAGGACGTGTGTGGGTTTAGTTCTAGTTTTTCCTCCTGCAAACGCCTTTTCATTACCAAGCGCGGTCAAAAGCAGTGATGCTGAATAAATCTATGCAAATTCCAGAAATCTCTTAAAGAGGTTTATGTAGCTCTTCAAATAAAAAGTGGATCTCTCAAAAAGTTTGGTGAAACTTATCACCGTAATAATAAATAAATACCCCTCATAAACAATTGAAATATTTATTTTAGATGCCACATGAAAACATGAAAATATTGTCAGTTATTTCAACTTCAAGAAAATTAAAAATTTGTACTGTGTTCAATTTGGAAAAGGATGTGCTTTTGCTCGACTCATGGGCTTAAAATAGCGCTTTTGATAATTATACCTATTGCCGCTGTGAGTAAACACAATTTTCTTTTAATAGTTATTTATAACATCTCCGCAGGGATTTAATGCCGGACAAGTTGCAAAAGACATCACATTGCTGGATGAACTGACGGGGCATCATCATATTGTTCTAATTATAAGTATAACCTTATGCATAATTATACTTTTTGCCCTTTTAGGCGCAATTTATGCGGCAGTTCGACACCATGCATTGATTCTAAACGTGGTACGTCTAACTGAGCTCATTCATAATCAATACATTAACTTCATTTGGTGAAATTTTTCAGTCACTAGTGCTCTTAGTACTGAAGTGCATAGCAAAATGCATAATTTTAATCGTGTGTATAGCCACCGAAAACAACCTTGAAAAGACAGCCGCCCACTTCTGGTTTATTCTTTGTTGGATATTTACCGTATGGACAACTCAGGGTATAAGACTATATTAAACGCCAATAACCAATATTTCAATTTAAAACAGATTCTATGCATGCTAGCAAATCTTTGTTTCTCGATTCGGTTAAAAGAGCTTTTAAGACAAACGGACTAATATTTTTTTTTATAATGCCGAACCTTTTATCAACAAGTCATAAAAATTGGTAAGTACATATAATTTTTTTTCAATTTTTTTTAGAACATTACTTAAATATTTACGTTCTCGCAAATAAATAACAAAAAATGAATTAATAAAATTTTTTTAAAAACCGTATTTTAATTCTCTACATGAGAATAGTGTCAGTTCTGCCAATATTGGTTAAAATTTTAAAATTAACTATTTAGTAGAATGTGCATTTGTTCCACGCTGGGACTCAAAATCGGACTTTTGATTTTAATACCTATTACCGCAGTGAGATAAATGAACTTAAATATGTTCATATTTACAAAATATAGACCCCTCTCCGCAGGGATTTAATGCTGTTCAAGTAGCAAAAGACATTACTATCTGGAATGAGGTGAAGGGCTCGAACCAGGTTATTTTAATTATAAGCCTAGCCATGTCTATAGTCATAATGGTTGCTCTTATTCCCCTAATGTATGCGACCATCCGAAAAATTGTGCTGATTATATATGTTGTGCGTTCAATTAATGTTGACTTTAATTAGTAAGCTAAATACCTGTATGTACTTACAGGTGCTTCATTTTTTTATACTTTACGTGTTGGCCAAACTGATCATCCTTCTTGTGAATGTATCTATTGATAACCCCGATAAGACAGCAGCTCATTCCTGGTTCATTGCATGCTGGTTTATATCGGTATGTGCGTAGTTCGTAGTTATTTTTGTCAATAAATCCGCCCTTCTATTTAAAACAGTTTCTATGCATGGCCTTGATAATATTGTACTACATCCGGCTTCATGACCTGTCCATCGACGAAGATTTTGAGAACTAAATTTTGACTTTTAGTTCTGATTTAAAGGGTACAGGGACGTATCATTTTTCATTACATTAAGTCCACCTAAATCTGGGTTTTAATCGTCACATCTGGGATTGCAAAGTCATCAGAGATAAGTTACTGTGGAAAATAGTTATTTTGCTAGTTAGCAACAGCATTTGGACATACGGAAATGGTTTAGCAAGTCTCGAACTAAAGAATTATTTCTTGCTATTGAAACTTCATGTGAATCGAATAAAATGTGTTTGATTTAAAAGTCGTTATACCTGCGGATGCAGTGTCATTCTAGGTAATCACACTGTTACAGAGATTTGTTTTTAGATAATTCGGATCAGTATGGCGGATTCACGAAGGTCGTCAATGTTTCGTAGGCAGTGTCGCGACTTCAAGCTGAAGATCTGCCGATACGTAATCTACCTCCTCTGGGTTGTCAATTTTGTAAGTAGTAAAATACCATAAACGGAGAAAGTACTGAGAGAAACCGCCAACCAGCAGATTTTCACCATCGTGGATATTTATGTATATTATATCAGACTGACGGAGCACATGGGCTGCTGGATGTGTTTGTTTAGGACCTATATGTTTATAGCGATGTTCCTGTCCATTGCAATTATTCCACTGCTGATTGTGGCCCTACCCTTGGTCGTTAGTGAGTTATCCGGCGGATTGCGCATTGTGAGTGATACGTAAACAAATTTTTACGAAGGTTATTTGCGAAATGTATTTGTTTTTTTCAGTACGTAACGATTTTCTTCTTGGCCACATGGTTGCAGATGATGTTGACTATTTTGTTATCACAGAAATACCAAGCCATAACCGATGTACTTCGATTATGGATGAACAATAAAAGCCTGGAGTTCTTCGAAGTTCATGTAAGAGTCTTCTTAAATTATCTTAATTTATGAATATTTATTTCGGCAAACTATTGGAAAAATCATTATAATCATAAAACAAACAAATTATATTTGTACTCTAATAAGAGAATATAATAGTAAATGTAAATATCTGACTATTGAATTCAGTATTTTATATTTAACAATTAAATTAAATATTAAATCATCTTAAATACAATGTACAGTACAATGTATATTAAAATATTTTAATTTATGTGAAAAATAATAATTTTTTAATAGTTCCTATTTGATTTAAATTTAAATTTTCAGGCATTAAAAATTTAAATATTTTTATATTTTTACTAACTAAAAACCGCGGTAAATGAAAACAAAAATATTTAATTTGATTTTACTACGTTACCAGTGTAATTTTTGATAATTTTAAAAATTTTTTTATATATATGTTCTTTAGTTCTTTGCTTATTCCCCGTGAATACAGTAGTTTATTTTATATGACATGATTCATTGACAGTCCAAGTGTTGCGGCCTGATTGGACCCGACGACTACATGCTGCTTGAGAAGATGATACCCCTATCCTGCTACAAGGATCGTAGTGGAAGTCCTGAAGACCTGTACAAAGCTGGTTGCTCCACCCGCTCCGTAAAGCCACCAATTGTGCCGATCATTCAGGTGATCTCTGTACTAATTCAGGTTAGTCGTTACCACAAAATGCAGGACCAAGTTTAAGTGTCATTTCAGTACGGATTAGTCCTGGTCCTGGTGGTGTACCTAGTTATCCTGAAAAGGAGCCAGATCCGACGTCGCACTCTGTGGTCCGTGCGTCCCACCGCAGTCTATAGTGATGAAAGTGATATAAGTGCGGATTAAAATTCCATACGGAGCTGGGGAGTAATCCGATAGAGACGAAAGTAAGTGGACTTTAGTGTTACTTCCCAGCTATGTCTGGGGGCTTAAGCAGCAGACTTTCATGTGGGATTGAAATTCGGATTCGGTTTGCATTTCACCCCGCCCTGGGAATGGGTATTGGCATTGACGTGCTAGACAAATTGGATGCTGCTGGCCATCGTCATATTTCACGGACTGCAATCAATAACGATAAACACTTGAGTCGCAAATCCAATGTCCAGAATCCCAGTCCGCATGGCATGCATATGGATGAGCCAATAAAGAAATCAACAAAGCATGTCGGGCAATTGAAAAAGTATTGCAAATGCCGGGACAGCCGGAGATTCGGACACGGAATTGGACTCCAATCCGGACAATATGCAAATGCAGTTAAGCAGAATGTATTCAAGGACGATACAAATCCACCACCCATCCGCCGGAGTTTATTTTCTTTTTATGTCCCTCGCTCCGCGCATAAATTTTATTGTTGTCAACATTAAATTCTAGCCGTGGAAAACAATTTTGCAGCATTTGAAAATCCATAAAATATGCATACAAAATTGTCCGGCGGAACGACCAACTTTATGGCTAAATAGTTTGCTCCGGCCCACATCGTTAATGCTTTTTTTATGCGTGTGCTTGGGTGTTGGACAAACTTTTTAGCCGCCATAACAATAACGGCAGCAACAACCACACTTTGGTCAAGCTGCTGAAATACCCATCGCAAAGTTTATAGAGGGGGGGATATGACATAAAGACGGAGTCGGAGTCAGAGGCGGAGGCCAAAGGGTCATGTGGCTCATTAAACTTTGGCCAACAATTTTTTGTTGCACCCCGCACCGACAAAGACAAACAGAAAGTTTTGCACTAAATATTTGCGCCCTCGCCAACCAACAAAAAAAAAAGAGTTCAAATAGAAGAGTAGAATAAGGGGGTTTCGAGGTGAGTGCCCAGGGTTTTAAGGGACTTGGAGTGACCAGAAAATTTCTTGGCACACATTTGGCCCATTAAACACTAGACAAATGGTATGTTAAAAGCAACTAAAAGGGTGAAAGTGTTACTTTATGTTGTGGTAACATTTACTTCATACATGGGGAACATATTGGACAATACGATTAGAAAATAAGAAAGAATAGGTTTTTTTTTACCTTTGGTTATAAAAACTTGGCAAAGGTTGCCTTTTATCATCGTTGAATGCAGTGAATACTGTTGGGTAATGGATCTTGATTATGCCATTTAATAAACATGACGTGTTTGGACCTTAGTGGTCTCCATCTGCCCATCATTTATCCCACCACCCATACCTATAATTAAAGGTAATTGTAATTACTTTAAAAGCAAGTTCGTGTTCTACGCAGCTACAATGCGACTGTTTTTATTTCGTACGGACAAATCAACAAAGTGTCAATAAAGGTTGGGTTATCACACCCTAGTAGCCCCAGTGGGAACCGAATCCATCGAAGCTGGCGTGGGCGACCACAGCAGCGGGCGAGTACTTCACAAAGGCGGCAGGAGCAGTGGAGTAAACCGGAGCTGGAGCGGAGTAGACGGTCTTGGCCAGAACGGGAGCGGGAGCAGGAGCGGCGTAAACTGGAGCTGGGGCAGCATAGACGGCCTTGGCCACGGGGGCAGAGTACACGGTCTTGGCCAAAACGGGAGCAGGAGCAGCGTAAACTGGAGCTGGGGCGGAGTAGACGGTCTTGGCCAAAACGGGAGCGGGAGCGGCATAAACGGTCTTGGCCACCACCGGAGCTGGAGCAGCGGCGTAGAAGGACTTGGTGATCACGGGAGCAGGGGCCGAGTAGAGGGTCTTCGGGGTGTACACGTTGTTGGTGATGCGCGAGTCCACCTTGCTGACACTCGAGTACGGGGTGACCACGTTCTTGGAGTAGGTGGACACAGTGCCGCCGAAGGAGCGCACCACATTCTGCTGGGTGGTGCCGACCGCGTCGTAGTGCGGCTGAGCCACCTTGGCCACCACCGGAATGGAGGCAGCGGCATAGGTGGTGGTGGCTGGAGCCAGGTAGCCAGCACTTGCCACGCCCACCAGAGCGCAGAAGGACAGCAGGACGTACTTGAAAGCCATGGTTAGGATTGGATATTTAATTTAACAAATTAAAACGGAGAACAGAAAACAGAAAACAGAAAACTGATGCTGATGTTTGTAGTGAGCTGCAGTGGCTACTGATGCTTAACTCTGGCCAATCGGCGGTTTTTATAGCCAAAAAGCGCGCAAATGTCTTGCCAAATTTCACGGCCAACTGGCAAATTATTGTGTGTGCGGCCGTATGACAGATTGACTTAGGCCTAAGCCCCAAAACTGGTTCAATGGGTCGACAAATGACTGCGCTCTTTTCGCTGCCTCTGTCGCGACTGGAGGCCAGCTCAAGTGCCCCACACCCTCGATATCAGATATCAGACATCAGGAAAGTGAATTATTTTGAATACTATCGGCAGCCCATAAATTTTCCAGAGGCAACGAACGAAAAACTTTTATTTTCTCCGGCGTTCTTTTCCATTAAATTGAGTTCTACTCGAGCAGCAAATATGAGGCAGGCAACCGCTCAATAGGGGGATGCTCTTTGTTGCTGTCAACTTTATCAGCAGGGGTGTCAGCGGTTTTACTTTGGGGTGCTGCCACCAGTCCGTTGTTTATGATTTTTGTTTGTTTTTTTCTCTGAGGGGGTGCTGAGAAGTTTTTGTGCCCTTCTAAAGTTGAAATTAATGATCAAAAGTCAGAAAGTTCTGGAAGGTTTCACAAAGGTGGTGGTAAAATTAGTTTAGCAGAACAAAAAATATCATACATCCATAAAAAACTTAGCAAACAAGGCCGAGTATTGACTAAAACATTAATATACAGATTTCAGTGGGTCACCGAAAACTTAACTACTAAATTAAGATGAAGAGGGCATCTAACACTCGTCTTGTTTGCAGTTTTGCTCCCGTTTGTTTTCCTTTTGTTTCGACCAAGTTTGGAAAATGAATTTTCCTGCTCTGTTGCTCACGGGCGCATGATGAATATTTATTGAAATTACCAAAGTTGACGCTGCTCCAAATTGAATTGTGTTGCCAACTTGGGATGCTTCTTACTGCCGCAAATTCTGCTCTCTTTTCACTTCTTCTACTTGCTTTTTTTTGTGTTTTTATTTTTGGCAAATTGTTATTAATTTTACACGAGGGCCCTGAAGCTTTTGGGCCCCACTCCGAAACCTAATTACCGCGTTTAATTTATGCCTGCAAATTGGCTTTCAAGCGGTTACGCAGGTGAGTTGCCATCGCATTGTGGGCCATTCAATTGCCAAAAAATCACGAACAAATCACCGAAAAACCAACAGAAACTGGCACGCGTCAGTGGCGTATAAAAGCCGCAACATTTTGGCCAAATCAGCATCAGTCGCAGCCCAGCCAGCCTGCTTTCAACTACAACTCTACGAGTCCAAAAAAAAGTCCAGTCATCCCACTGCTTCACCATGGCCTTCCGCTACCTCATCTCCCTGTGCGCCCTGGTGGCCTGTGCCAATGCCGGTCTCTTGGCCAGCCATGTGGCCATTGCCAATCCGTCGGTGGATGCCGTCGCCTCCACCCAGCACGATGTGGTGCGCTCCTTCGCCGGCACTGTTTCGAGCTACTCCAAGGCGGTGGACACTCCGTACTCCAGTGTGAGGAAGAGCGACACCAGGATCCAGAACAATGTCTACACTCCGGCCATTGCCAAGACCACCTATGCTGCTCCGCTGTACACCCAGGCCACTCCCATTGTGACCAAGACCTTGGTCCACGCTGCTCCTGCTCCTGTCGTGGAGAAGACCGTGTATGCTGCTCCTGCTCCGGTTCTGGCCAAGACCGTCTACTCCGCTCCAGCTCCTGTTTATGCTGCCCATGCTCCGGTCTACGCTGCTCCTGCTCCCGTTTTGGCCAAGACTGTGTACTCCGCTCCTGCTCCCGTTGTGGCTAAGACTGTTTATGCCGCTCCTGCTCCCGTTGTGGCCAAGACTGTTTATGCCGCTCCCGCTCCCGTTGTGGCTAAGACCGTGTACTCCGCTCCTGCTCCTGTTGTGGCCAAGACCGTGTACTCCGCACCAGCTCCAGTCTATGCCGCTCCAGCTCCCGTTCTGGCCAAGACTGTGTCCTATGCCGCACCCCTGGCCACCACCAACGTGAACCACGGACCCTCGGCCACCACCTATACCCACAATGCCCCAGCTTTGGGCGTGTCCAGCTATGGCAGCTCCCAGACGGTTCACTACTCGCCCGCCGAGAGTGTGTCCCACATGAGCTTCGATGGATTCGGAACCCACTGGGGTTTCTAAGTGAGTCTTGGCCTTTTGGTCTAAGCAATTGTTAATGTTTGGTGGTCAATAAAGACGGAGATCGATTGTTGCAAATTAAACATGAGCTGAGCAAACTAGACCTTCCGGGGAACAATGGGCGAGACTGGTTTGCTGTTTCTGTTTCTGTTTCTGCCACATCACGGCTGAGAAGCGGCCTTCGGTGAGGTCTTAACTTAAGTGGGGGGGCGGGGTAAGCGGCTTTGTGATAAGCTGCGGGGGCGTGGCATGTCGTGTTTTATGGCTCTTTAATTGGATTTGATATTTTTTTTTTTTGCACACCTTTCCCCCAATCCATAACCTTTCGGCCCAATTGTACACTTGTTATAATTATTGTCAGTTAATTAACGGATATTACTGCTCGCAACGCCGCAACGCCGCGTAAATGGCTTACACGCTGGCCCCCGAAGCTTAATCTTGACATTTTCGTAGAGATATGTGAAACATTAATGGGCCCGAGTTTAATGGGTTCAATTGGATCCATTGACAGGCGGCAAAGAGGGAGAGTTTAACAGATCAAACGCGTGTTTTGACAGTGATATTTTAGCGGGATTGCTTGAACAACGCTCGAGTTGCGTAATGAAAGGTAAATGATACAAGGAGTGAGGTAACAAACAAATAACAAATAGAGAAAGTGATAAAAAGACCCTCAATTGGGAGCAGAATAAGAATTAATGCAAAGAAATTTGTTATACATTTTTGTTAGACTTTATAGTGATCGATACTTTGATAATTGGAAATTATTAAAATACTCACTTTTCAATAAAACTTAAAATATACTTTTTGTATATATATATGTATATACATTATAATTCTTTGCTAAATATATATAGCATACCATGCACTTAAGAAAAGTGTAAGCAATTTAACTTTTTTTACCTTAACAAACTCCAATGTACCCTTTTAAATTATTTTTCAATCAAACAAAAATAAGGTGAGTATACTTACTACTACATAATTTAGTTTCTTTGGCTTTTTAACGGCATGACACTAATGAGACATGCAATGGAGCTGCTGAATTCCCCCTAGACCACCTGACAGGCCAGACAATAACAATCAAATTAAATGAAAACGTGTCCAAAAGGCGTAGAACGAGGCCCCAGTCTTGGAATTTTTGTCAGCAAAATTAGATGCATTTGTTGTTCTTGGCCGGAGCTTTGATTTGCGATTTGATTGCGCATACGCCCCATGCCACATGCCAAAATGTGCCAGATTGTCCTCGTCTGAGTTGACAATTAGTCAATAATTTATTTCAATTTCATTCCGCATGCCAAGCACACTCATACACCCCCAAAAATGGAGCCTAACTGCACTTTAATTACATTTACATTTCGGCTTGAGACTGTCGCTTTAGTTTTTGCCCTAAAACAAGACTGACAAGGGGGGAAAATGGCAGGTCCAATTCCACCCTGCAATTGTTGCAATGCAATTTAGCTAAGCGAATTTTCATGATTTAAATAACAGCATTATGTGTGGCAGATTGTGTGTTTGTGGCTGAAAAACTGCAGACAATGTGGGTTTGCTGTTTGGTATTTTGTGTTTTGTCTGACTGGCCGGCTGTGTGTCCTGGTATAATTAAATTATGGCTGGACATAAGACGCATAATAGGTCATAAATCAAATTTACCTATCCCACAGGTCCATGCCGGGCATGACACTCCAGACGCCGTCACAGACACAGTTTCCTATTGCCATATTTGCACAAGAAAAAATGAATATTAGCATATCAATAAACAAAATAATTGTAAAATTAATTTTAATAAATTTTAATGCTAGTTAAAGAGAGTAACTTTAAAATATATTAAACTAAAAGTATATAAGATATCAAAAAACAAGGTTTTTCATTTAGCTAAATTTAGCTAATGAAATTCCATTTAATGTTAAATTAATTGCTGTGTACATTTTTTTCTGGAGCAAGGACATTCTGGGTTTTGCCCCCTTTCCCTTTCCACGCATTTTGATGGACATTTTGACGACTCTGTCTCGGCAATCAATTAGACAATTGATGCATCTGCTGTTACTGTTGTGCCCCTCTGTTTGAATTTACATCTACGCCAGCATTTCTATTGCAACTTTGACTCCACGGAACCACAAAAGGGCCGTCCCGTGGTCCGAATTCTGTGTCCGTAACAACGACTATAACTGCAGGACTGTGACTGCATTTAATGTGACTTCTGTCAGGGGCAGCCGCTCTTGGAATGCAATGCAATTGAAACATTTCGGCAGCAGAAAATGCAAATGCGTTGCCTTGTTTTCGGCCTACTGTTTTTCATGGTATTTTTTTATGCAAATTACAGCAGTGTGTAAAAAGCGTTCGCATTTTTCACCAAAAATTAAGGACGAAAAGTGACCGCATTTATTTAAATCATTAATTGGCATATATATAAGTTTTAGGATGGAAAATCACAAATAAATCTTTAAGTATTGAAGTCCAGTCGTTAAAAAGTTTTTTAATGAGTTTATTTAGCTAGACCAGACTATATTTTGACCAATTGTATAGAAGTCTTACTTAGCTTTAATGAAACTCTCAGACTTAAGAATATTTATTTCGACAGTATGCGAACTAAGTGTGTTTCCTATTATTTTCCCAGTAATTCTTAACATTGAATCATATTTGTTACAAGCTTCTCATTAAATACAAGAAAATATTGAAAGAATAGGGCAAAAATCGTATTATTTTGTACATTTTTTTTATGTTATCATTTAAAAAAAAAAACGGAAGGAACTAAATGGTAGCGCTAATACAAATACGATACCAACTCGAGCAGAAGTAGAATAAAAGAATGCAGACCCTCCATCGCGATTGGTCATAGAGGCAGACAAAGAAAAAAGCCATCCCATGTTCTCCCCATTCTCAACTGGTACGCATCCTGAGGTAGATTAAATTTTAATTTTTAATTTAAAGACTGTTTGTATTCTATTTGCTCTGCGTGGCGAAACAAATACGTGCAGTTGAGGGAAAAACGAACTTTAAGGTCATTTTTTCTGTTGATTTATCATCACTTTATGCAAATGGACTGCTTACCTTTGAGCTTTATCGGAGAACATCTGTGGAAAGTTTAAAATGGGGGGGGTTTTCTATTTCTCGTTTTTCCATGGGATTTCCCTGACTTTTTCCACCCCGTCTTTTGCTGCCACGTGCAATGTCAATGCCAAGCGATTAACATTCAATTAGCTTTTGGCTTCATCAATGATTTTATCGCAGCCAGGAGGTCCTGTTGCTGCGGCTGGTTTGGGTGTTAAATGTGGCAAATTATCATTAGCCTGTTCGGGGGTATTTGTTGGGGCCCCAACAAGGACTCCAGCAACGACATCTTCAAAAGGTTTTTATGACATCAGCAGCTGTCGTTGACAGATTATTGTGGCGATTATTTTAGCAGAGAGGCAGGACACACAGAGCAGATACCAGATACAAGATACAAGACGACAAACAACAAACAGGACCCGAGGATGGGGGACGATGTCCCGGCTTTTGTGCGTTCAACTGGAAATTGTCAACACTGATGTTGGCATTGCCATTGCTGGTGGCCGTTTTGTAGTCCCTGTGACTCCGACACACATGTGACAGACTGCAAGGACCTCCGGCCCATCCCCTTACCACCACTTAAACATCTTGCGGCTTAGCACTTGTAAATAACTAGCTGAAGTTGAAAAAGTTGTGACATTTTTATAAACACCACAGAACAAGTAATGGTTTATGATATGACAATTTAGCTGTCGTGATCTGGATTTTTTTAGATATGGTGTGATACCATATACTTGTACTTCGATGTATTTTATGTAATTTGATAAACTCAAGAAGACATGCATATTTAAAGCCTCACTAAAACCAATTTGAAATTGCTTATTAAAATCTTCTAAGGTAATACCATGTATAACATATTGGAAAACGCTTTCAGTGCTTAATAATTTTATTTAAAATTTTTGAAGGACAAAAGCAAGGCGGAACAAATATCAACTACAGAGAAGCAAAGTTAAAAATTTTTCAATCAAACTTTTTTTTTTGATCAAACTGAATATATATACTTTATATATTTACTTTTAAAAGTATGCTTAAATTAAACTTATTTTTTCGGCCAATATCTTGAAAAATGTTGTTTCCAGATTCTAACTTTATGATTGCAAAATTTTCGTCGAGTTGCTTTATCCATAGTTTAGTAAACACTGGTAAGAAGTCAGATCGAAATTTTAAAATTTGAGACATGAAAAAGTTGTCATTTTTTTTGGTAATTTTTTTTCTACTTCTAATAAATATGTGCAATTGTCCAACTCTAGCACTCAAGCTATCACTTCTGTTATTCCTAGCCGTGACCATAGTGAGTTGGATACCTAGGTGCTCGATGATCGAATATCCATGACCAAATCCGCAGGCGATAATTATCATGGAAATTGTATACACCATTACGAACTTTCAATCCAAAACCAATGTGTTTATTCTATGTCTAAACATATTGGCGTGCCTCATTATACTGGTTTTTTTGACAGTCGGAATATTTGGCGTTTTGATGGAAAGGATCAAAACAATAAGGATGGTGCGACACATACACGTTGTTCCCGATCTTTTACATTAATATTTGCAGATGCCTTTAGCTGATGTTCTCCTTGGTGGCGTTTTGCCTGATTAGGATGGTCATTTGGATAGTGTGTGGGAATCTGGAGGATATTCTAACCGAAACTATTACTCACCTATGGTTCCAACTCAACACGGCGCTCTCAGTAATAAAAAGTCGGCTACATAATATATCAAGTCCTATAGTTCCAGTATTTATCCATTACAGGTAACCTGTACGGTTTTGACTGTCTTGTTATGTATGCGGCTGCACGTGCTCTCTCAACAGATCCAACTGGGTGAATAGTGTATGCTAAACAAATATAATTTTAACAATATAGCTATGCTGGTACTCATCGAATTTAATTAGATTTAGTATTGATATCTCAAATTATATTTTGATAGACTTGAATGCACTCACGTAATCATTCTCTTTATTTAATTTTTTGTGACTCCCAAAATTTAAGCGTTTACAATCCATATTTACGCCTTGTCTTTGGATTAAAAAAAATAATTACAGAAATGATTAAATTTAATATAACGAAATTTGTCGGAATCTCTATATATAAAATTATTTATTATTCCTTATTAATTTTGTACATTAAATAAATAAATACTGACAAACTACAAATCATTTCGTCTTTGTTTTTATTCGCCTTAAGCCTCACATTTAAGTACCTAAGTACCCAAATTAACTTAAAGTTTACCCCCTGAAAGTGAATTCAAAGTACCGATGAAGTTGTTGATATCAGGCGGGCGTGACAATTTGTGGGTTGTGTGGGTAATCAAATTACATGCGGAATTATGGACACCCGCAGGACGATAATGGCAGCCAATAAAGATGACAATGACAAGATAAGCGCGGGCAGAACAGGCGCAGGATGTGACCCCCGCCGGGGTCATCGGTTGGCTCCGTTTCCGCAGCTTTAAATGAAATTTAACGATGCCCACAAATAACGATACTTTGCATTTTAAAACACTTTTGCCAGTCGGTCAGAAGTCAGGGCAGGGAAGTCCTGGCCTGAAGTCCGATGCTCATTACGCACGCATTTTGCTTGACACTTTTATTGGCAACGGAAACGGAATGGGTGAAAATGCGGGTCATTTTATGGCCAAGAACGGATGCCGATAAGGGCATTAAATTTGTTCAGCCATAAAGTCGCTGGCCACATCACTCAGCATTTGGCCAATTACGCAAATAAAAGCATACACCCTCCTGGAAAAATGGAACGTGTCAAAGTGCTGGAAAATGCAGCAGGATTCAAGGATGTGAAGGGGCTCATTAGAGGTGTGTGTGCGCTGCCCCGAAGGTTTGGCCGGGAAATTGTGTGGAAAAACGCTCTCTAAACTGGCACTTTTACACAGAAATTCGCAAAGCCCTTGGCTAGAAACAAAGCGAAAGTATGACTAACACTCTTTCGTGGTGGTCTCTAATTTAAATGCGAACAAGGATATGCCGAAAAATATGTATTTCATTTCTTTTTAATTCCCCAACTGGCGTAATTAAAGGCGAGGCCTGATCTGCCCCCGGCGATTCTCATCGGATTCTCGGCTGGAATTTTGACTGTCTCCAAGCGATTCGGGGCCATAACAGCATGTCGTCGACGTTGTCGTTGCCATTGTCGTTGTCCTTGTCGTCCAGGCGTATATCCTGCGGCTGATTAAAATCTATTAGAGTCAAAGAGATGTAAGACACTGTGCAGGCAGCGGTCGCTTTCCACGGCAGTGGGTGGAAAACCAGTGGGGGGGACACTTTGGCCAATGACTTGCCATGTAAATGTCGTCGGCGACGGCTACGCAATTGAAATGCATGCGGCGGAAACTTTCAACTTGTCATAGAAGGGTATACACGGTTGAGCATAGTGACTAAAACAAAAATTTAAAACTGCCTCTCCCCTTAATTTTTAAAAAATATATTAAGGTATTACGGACATTTTGGAAAATTAAAATAAAAAGTAGCATAACTTTACGGGGATCAATGTTTGTTTTTTAAATATATGAACTAAATAAAATACAAAACAATTAAGATTCAAAAATGTCACAAATATGTAAAGGTTTTCTATAAAACTGTTTCCAAAATAAACCATTCAAGTGTTCAAATTATATGTTTAATAAACTAAAAATCAAATAATGAGTTTTTTAATAACATTTTTCCCTCAGTCCCCTTAAGATTAGGGTATTCCGAATCCAATCATCTCTCAAACTTACTTTTTCCCTCACGGTTCCTGTTGTTGTCAAAAGTCGCACACAAAAACTTTGCAGTGCAAAGTTTTCAACGGAAATTGTGCAGCTGTTTTGTGTGTGGACTTGTGAGTCTCGTTGGCCTGCTCTTAAATATACTTGTAAAAGCAAATTTGTTGAAATATTCATTTAATGGCTGCCACGCCCAATAGCTGGCGAACGCCTACCGCTATCAGCCTTGGCAGGGCGGCGCTTTCAATATGATTTTTCATGATTAAAGCGCGTGCCGGGTACGTTTTTATCGGCCGAAAGACATTTGCCCAACGATGCCGGAGTTCGATAGGAATTTTCTTATAAATTGTCGCCCCCAACAAATGTGTCCGCATCGACATTGGGGGTAAAAAATACTCCCACACGACGACGTAATAAAGTGATTTTAAAGGGCACTTTCCCGCACTTCCCTTTCACTTCGATGGGTATGCGTAAAATTTCCATTTGTGCCAGGCACTCAACTTTATTGAACTTGAAGTGGAGACTGCGATAATGTTTGCCTGATAGAGCAGCAGCGGCACATGTGTGCTGCTCCAAGATGTCCTGGCTTTACAATTCATTAAAATTTCATATAAACCGAATGAACAATGGCCAGCGAACATAATTCATTTTGCAGCTGCACCACGAATAGAGAAAAAAAATATGTGACACATTTTGGCATTATTATATTATATTTTATCACAAAGTATAAATTGTTGATTTATCAAAAACAATACAGAAATGAGAAAAGTAAAGTACTTACAGATCTCAAGGTTGACTTGTTTAAGATTACTTCTTTATTAAACGATTAAACGGATACAGTTATTAACAAAATTAAATCAATATATTTATTAAATTAGTAATGGGTACAAACTTTTACTCTTAAAAACAATGCAACAACCCAAAATTTTGTAATTTTTGATTTTATGATGTATTTCAACATTGAATTCTTAAGCTATAAGTTGTTGAATAAAAATATAACAAAAAATGTTTTTAAAATTTAAGACTACTTATTATTATTATTTTTTTTATAATTAAATTATACAAAATCGAAGTTAGATTGTGTTTTTAAAGTTTTTAAAGTCCCCTTTTTCTAGGTGTACCGTTATTAACTGCTAGTTACAAATGCGCCACAATAACGGTATTAAATGCACTGCGAAAGCGTCAAGTCATAAACAGCTCATCAGTCTTGGGCGGGCGGCAAAGTAACTGCTACCGCTCCCATTCCGCCATAACGGTAATTATGCGCAACGAGCAACGCGCGACGCCGCTGCAAAAGTTGTGCTATCACAACTCATTGTCTCGGCGGGCAGGAAGTGGCAGCGGCAGCAGCCGGCGGCAAAACATGCCACCGAAAAGGGGGGAATCCTTTGCCTTTTGACGCTGATAATGCAATTTCCGCCAGCTCCCCCCTTTACCCCTCACCACTGGCGTAATTTACAGCCGTGCAATGTTTCATTTTTGTTGCGTCCTTCTGGCCGTCCTTAAAGCCAGCTCAGACAACACAGCCAACGGGGCTAGTTGCCGCTATTTATCTACATAAAGTTAATTGAAAACATTCAAATGCCCGGGCGACTGCGTGATGTGTCAACATCTTCTGATGCCGCATAATCCCACAACGTCCATCCAAGTCATTCCAGACACCTATCCCTTAGTCACTATAATAAAGAAGTCAGGCTTTTCGACTTCAGGATACCCGTTTACCGTTTTCGCTTGCGGAGTTTTAATTAATTTGCTTAAAAATTAGTTTTAAAATATTACTAATAAAAAGAAAAGGCTTGAAAGATAAAATATTTTAAAGGATACCATTTTTGGCACAATCAACCAATTGATTTATAAGTTTTCAAGTTACCAGTTCTTACAAAAAATATTATAAAATATATTATAAATTTAAGGCAGAAAAAAAAGTCGGTAATTTTGTTTTTGTAATAAAATTTGCTAATATTCCATGTACTAGGACTCAGTTTATAATTTGGCGGCCAAGAAATTGTGAAATAATATAGAAATATAGTCTACATGACTAAATTTTTAAAGCAATATTTGACATTTATTTTTGAAAAACTATGGAAAAAATCTTAAAAGTTCCGCCTGAGAATTTAATATGGGTAACAGTTTCTCTGCTAGTGATGTTTTAAATAATGTTTAAAATAATAGCTTAAATTAATTAAGAATATATCTGTGATTCCTCAAAACGCCATATACCCTCACAATCTCCTAGTACCGTGTGCAACAACAACGAACAATGAAATGAAGGCACTGCGCTTTTTCCCTGTTTTCCTTGCCATCGTCGTCTTTATTACAAATTGGTTTTATGCACTCACCACTCGCATGTTTCGTGCGCAATTTGCACCACCGAAATGAATATGAAGCGAAGGGAAACCTCTCGACAAATGTGCAGAAAAAATAAATTGCGGAACACGAAAAGGTGAGCGGAGGGGCGGAAACGTGTCCAACTCGCCACGTTAACGAAGTAAAATCGAAAGTTTGACTGCGGTCAACGTTGGGCATTGTCATTGTCTATCGCTTTGCTGTATCACTACATCCCGCTCCCGGTGCCTGGTCGTATCTGTATCTCCCCAGTTGACTGTCAGATTGAATGGTTTATGTGTGACACCTTTGACCGGTCACCGAGGTGTTTTTCCGACGGAGGCTTCCCTCAGCCAGACAATATATATTAAAATTTACCTGCGAGTCGGAGAAACTAAAGGCATTGGCTTGAAATTGCAGGCGAATACTTGTTAGCATATATATAACATTTCTTTTAACTTTGAAACACTTGCGAAGCTGTCTTAATTTGTAATATCTTTCTGCTTACAATATTATCTTTAGTTAAATTGATATTGTATAAAATCCATTGAAACAAAAATAAAACTCTTAACTAATTTTAAGTTTATTTAAAATTTGTAAAGTAACATTACCTCCTTTTGTATTTCTATAGTAAAATTCTACTATGTATTATATTATTTTTTAAAAAATTTGTATTTATGTAAATGTATCTTCAATTTATAAAGATTTCTATACCAATTTCCTACTTTCACACTGACTCAGTTATTATAAAGTCCGATTATTCCGGCTTAGCTTAACACAGAAAAATCCTGTTGCCTGATTTCCGGTTCCTTTTATTTGCCCAGCAGAAGTCACGTGGCATTCATAATTCTTAAAATGACGCCATCAGAAATTATGTAGCAATGCTAAGTGCACCCAAACAGCTGTCCCCCACTTTTCCAAGGGGCTAAAATCTACGTGACCAGCATTTGTCATACCCCAAAGTGTGCTGGGATTTTATTTTTTTGGAGGACAGTAGGGTAACAATGGGGAATTGATTTTGGGTTTTGGCCAAGTGCAAGCTGATTATGGAATTAAAACATATTTCTGTGCTGCGAACTTAAAACTTTAAGTGGCAAAGGTTGTCGCTGCGTTCTTAGTACGTGACATTCTTTTGCTTTCCGAGTTTATCACGTGACAAGTTTTCCAGTCTCGCGCTTATTCTCCGCACACCCATTTTCATTTTCATTGTGGTACGAAAAAATAACTTTTCATGTGTACGAGTATGTGGGAAAAGGGAAATGAATGAGCAAACGAAACTACAAAGAAGTTAACTGCGAAAGTGAACTTGGGTTACAAAGCAGAAGAGATCGGAGGAGCTTGGCGAGCAGGAAAAACGCAGATAAATAACATTGAATGTGGAAAAACAAGGGATGAGGAAAAAAAATAAACAATACGCCTTTTGAAATGCTAAACGTGCCGCACTCACACACCTACATTCACACACACCAGACCAGAGCCAGGAGCGATTTTCACACATTACACAAGAACGCGTCGCAGGACTCGTGTTCGTGTATTTTTATTAGCACACTCACACATCCGTGAGATACTCTGCCATCAGTTTATCTTGTTTCTTGCCACCCGCTCAGTGCCAAAAACATTTATCTTGTCGTATTTATTTTGTAGCACATTAATTTCGCCTCATGTTTCAACCGAAATTGACTTATTTGCATTCAGTTTAATTTGTACGAACATCAATACTACCCCGAAAAAAGGACAAAATATAGGGATGTTGCGGCCAACACAGCCACAGGTGTTGCAAGTGTCAAATTTGTGATTGATGGAAGGCATACGAAATTATGAGATTTATTCTTAAAAGTTTTTTGATATGGGATGTAATGCTTTTTTTTAACAATCTGAGAAAATAACTTTATACAAGTAAGAGGGAAATTATATTTCAGGCTTGATTACCACTCTACTTGATTTGATTAGGCATTCCTAACGATTTACATCAAGGCATTTCTACAGATGAAAATTGTTTTATTTTTTAAACTTTAAAGCATTCTTCTTAAACTGTTCAATACATCAGCTCTCCAAACTGAATTGGCATAATAAATGAAGGTCTCAATTGTACGTTTAGTGGCCAATGAGGGCGACTTGATTTAAATCACTTAAATGAATAGATATTTGCCAATGCCCAAGTGAAATATGAACTTCAACTAACGAATTCAAAAGCCAAATGAAATGATATTAGCCACACGGCCGCAGTTCGCTTCATGGACCAGTGACGACAGACAAAATGCATTTTTCATAAAGCAGACAGCCGAGGAATGGGGCACACATGTCTGTTTTTTGAATGGAGTTTGGGGGTAGTTTGGAGGTACTTTTGGGGGCGTACTACCTGTAGACGTCTATCGACAGCCAGAGGCTGGCAGCAAGTTGGCAAAATGGAAAACGGGAAAGGGGAAATGGCCGAGAGCGCAAAATGTCAACCGAAATTGCGATTGCGTTAAAACTCTATAAATACCAGAGTAACATGCAACAATGAAGTGCGGTTAAAGGACATGCCGATATGGCAACAACACAATCTAATCCGGTTATTGCATTTTAAATGTGCAACACACTGCCGCCCAGGGGCGTGGTCGGCCATGATTTCGCATTAAATTATTTGCCAGGCAATTACTGCCGCCTGACATTGAAGGCCCAGTTCGGTTTGGCCGCGTTATTCAAGTATTGAATCACGTGTGAGTTGCATGGAAGTTCGAACATCCTGAGTATCTGAGCCTCGTAATACGCTTATCAGGAAGCCAACAAGCGCCAGCCAACTCTTTTCAAATTTTAATGTAATTTAATAGCATATTAAACAGCAGGAGTCTGCGGCCGGAAAACCACAGTGCCATTGTGCTTGTGGGTGTGGGTGTGTGTGTGTGGGTGTGGGTTTCGCCTGGGAGTCCTGCAACAGTTGTTAGTCCTTGCCGCAAAATTCTTGTGTGGCACACTTGGCAAACTTGCAGATGAAGATAGCAGATGCCGCCAGGCTTTCATCCAAGGTATATACACACAGCAAAAAAATAGGATTGCAAACTTTTGTTTTTGTTGCTACCAGATTTATTAATATATTTAAAATCAGATTGCAATAATAACAGAGATGATTATGATTTAAGCTCTATAGAAATTTAATTAATATTTCAATTTATTTAGTTAGTTCTCAAGCATTAATTTTAGATTATTTTGAAGGTTTTTTTTTTTTTAGTTCCGAGTCAGTCGAGTTTGGCTCCCCGTGTAGCAGGTTACCAGATCTAAAATGCAGCTGCTTTAGATATCTTTGGGTACAATTCTTGTTCCATGGATCCTGCAAAAATTAAATGCGGATGTTCCCCGACTGCGATTACTTCGATACAGTGGATATATGGCATGTTTGAACGCTGAACGATTCCGACATATACGATATTAACTAGTTATTCCTGACCACATGACTGGAGAACATAACTTCAGGGAGCTGCCGAACGGATCCAGGGAGCCGGTAGAAAGTCATTTAAGATCATGTGGCTGCAAACAAATGTTGACCAATGGCGAGTGCAACGAGGGCCTGAAGGAGAAGCTTTCCGGGTCATTCCCCACCTGATAATGATCATTCAGGGTGCATTGATGCTCTGGAAAATAGGTATTTAAGATAGTTTATATAATAGTTATAGTTTTGTACTCAATGAATACGGAGATTCATGAACTGGCAGAATGGCTAATCAATTGCGCGCACATTGAACACAAATCAAATTGCAAACTTGCCGCGTCCAACGATTTTTGCAGAAAACTTTTCCGGCTTTCTCCACCGCCCCCTTCACTTTCCATTGGCTCCATCCAGTTCGAGATCAACTTTTGCTCAATTTGATTTTTCAACAAAACGGGAAGAACTTTTGCCTTTTTACCTGCCCTTTTGTGTGCGTCTACTTTGGCTTGTCGTTAAACAAACTTATCCAATAAAACTTTTGTCAACATTGATTTAAGGCTAAAGAGGGTGCATATTATGGGTAAGTTCGGGTGGAGGGATTGAAAAATCATTTGACATTTCGTTTGCTCTTACCATAAGTCAAAAAATGTTAAGCGCCAAAGAGATGAAAAAAGTGTATCAGGTGCTCTGAATACTTTTAAGAAAGTTAAGACAGCAAAGGTGTTGGATATCAGGTGGAATTAAATCCAAAGGGTACCGGCTGAATACGATTTTTGAAATCGTTACCATTTTTGCGTTATAAACATCAAACTGGGTAACCAGTTTAGAATATAAAATAGAATATAAAATCAGAATATAAAATTATATTCCTAATTTAAAACGAAGATCAAAGTTTTTAAAAAATTGCTTACACTATTTATTTAAGCAATTTTTTTATATGGAAAGTAATATTATCATTTGTGGAAATCGGTAGAGGTTTGGTACGCCAAATTGTAGCACCCCAGAATATTATAATTTCTAGTCTTGCTAGACCAGAATCCCTCTTCTATTCAGCACACCTGGTTTTACTGGGGTAAACAGTGTTTACTAAACACACCCTATGACACCCACACAGTACTTATAATGTGGGCTTGAGTCAGTTTTTGTCTTGTCCTCGAACAAACAAACGGAAAGTGTTGGCCAGGCCGCATAAGTAGAACAGACCAAGACGAAGTTTTCCCAGGCAACGTGATATCCTTGTTGTTTTTGTGGAAATGCATTTACAGTTAGCTGACTCCGGCAGCTTCTCTTTATCCACTTCTACTTAAGACTTTAATAGTTGCAAAAGTTTTCAACGCGCGCGGGCTTAAGTAGCTGCTCTTCGAGGTAGTGCTTGAAATGACTGTAAAACTGCCAACATAAATCTGGCCACAACATCTTTTATGTTGCCACTAGCCAGAAGTTAATGCCAGCCACGTAAATTGAAGACTTAAAGAATCGGAAGAGCGCAAGCAGCTGGGGGAATCTCGGCAAGATTAAAAAGTTCTGCAGACAAGCAACAAATTGACGCGTATCTTTTGCATATTGAATAAAAGTCAAATTGTGTTTGGCATATTAAGCGGGAATCATTCGGCAATGCCGATGGAAAATCGAAAGCAAGTCCGAGGCCACCCTGGCAAAAAAAAAACGCCCTGTCCGTCTGGCAGAGAAAAGTGATTTTTTATGTTGGACTTACGGCTTAGCGACGAAGCAATTTCCACTGCAGATTCAGCGATTCTGGTCAATAAGCTTGGCCAAGTTGGCTTGGATGACTGCCTCTTGTCATAACATTACCTCTGAATATCTGTAACTTAAAGCAAAATTAGTTAATATAAATAATCTCAATTGATTGTGCAACTTAAAAATTATCCATGCAAAAATTATTCATATTTCAATGGATTTTCTCATTCAAATACTGTTTACTTGATTTCAATATTTGTGTCACTTTGTCTGGATTTAATTCTATTGACATTTAATTACTCATATTATTATCGCAAAGTTGCCCCATTGAAAATATTTTAAATAAATATTTCTTTGCTGTTGGTTGTAATTCAAGCTTATAAAATATGTGAAACCATCGAACAAGAGCGTAACCGCATTATTTTGTCAAATAGCGAGCTCAACGAGGTGAGCTATTAAAGTTTCATTATAAATAAATGCTTCCCACTAATGATAATTTTATGTATGGGAATCATATAACAAAAGCGAATGGGCATTATTCTGTCAAGGGGCAAAGCAAACGAGGTGAGATTTGGAAGACTTAAATAAAAAGGGGAAATTTATATTCATTTAAAATTTTTTTAAATTAAAAGTACAAATACATTTTTTAAAGAAAATACATATTAACATTATATAAACTAATTAACAAATTGTTTTCAGAGTGGGTTTTCACTAAATTTTAATTATAAAATTGTTTATCTTTACTTGTGAAACAAGTTCAACATAATTTACCTAATATTATTTTTTTGGATAATTAATAAACAGATTTATGATAGTTAAACTACCAGCCCTCTCTGCAGCAATGTCATCTGCAGGGCTATAAATTACCAGTATATTCCATATAGACATGCCAAATTTACAAGTGGTCAGTGGCAGCGACGCTAATGAGCCAAACGCAATGCAAATTGATAGCCCTTTTTCGACAGCCACGCCCCTATTATATTAACGCCCCCGCGAACAGTTGGGTGTGGCTTAAGGGATTAGCATCGTTGTGCGCACTTTATTTGTTTATGAACTTATATATGAGCATGCGGTGGAAAATGGAATTCCATGTAATTGTTTTTAATTGCATGCATTTATAATTCAACATTCTCGCGGCCTTACGAAAAGTCCTGTCTACTTCAAAGTGTTAATGAGCTGGGAGGCAGGCGTAATTATGCAAATTTTTAATGAGTGTGAAAATGGCTCGTACCGAGCAACAAGTGTTCGCGTCTTGAAACGACCCTCAACCCAGCAGCCCACTGAAATGGCGGCTAATTCCATTTGACCCCGAAGCCCCAGAGCAATCCATTTACATGGCTTCGAATACCTCGTCGTTTCCTGGATCCTTGCCACTCCATTTCCCACCCATTTTCCGCTTTAATCCCTCGGATGTGAGAGCCCTGAGCTGAGTTGACTGCTGGCATTTGGTCTTTAGATTTATACAGTTTTAGTCAAACAAAACATGAATTTGCACTTTCACACACATATGTGAGTGACTGGAAAAGAGAGCGGCGAAAGCCGATTTGGTGCCATTCAGCTAAAACTGACGTTTAAGCCCTTTATACCATGATTCGCATCTGACGCTTCGTTCAAAAGTAGCAGTTAAGGTGCATAACACACGTTCAAGAGGGTGAAAGTAATAAAAACTCATCACAAAAAAGACAAGTAAATGTTAATTAAAACAGACGACTACAAACCCTAATGAAGAAGTCACAAAAATAATATGAAATATTAAATAAACTAATGGAAATATGGGATCAAAAATAAAACCTCAAGAAAAGTGTAGAGATTTTGTCTAAGGATACTGACCTTTTTTAGCCTTTCATCGCTATATTTACGATCAATATAGGGATTGATCCGTCCTTCAGACAATCACTGAACTCGCCATAAGCTAACACTTGTTCGTAGCCACTTGATCAAAAACGATTTTCATCGGCTTCCTGAATCCGCTCGGCAACTGACTGAAGCTATACTTTCCGGTCAGGTGGACAGGAATTACTAGTCGAAACGTATGTGTTGGAATCGTACAGCCTTCAAATATGCTATATCTCTACTGTGCCAAAGTACTCGCAGTCGAAAATTTCCGCTTTTGATTTTAACAGGATCATAAGAACAAGAACTACACCAAACTATTCCAAAATCAGTCGACTTTCAGACGTTGAATGCTGTTACGCGGAGAACCAATCTCGACTGACTGCCGATGGACGGAGCTCACGGCAATAAATAGCTTCGTTTTGAGAGCAGATGAATTTCAAAATTCCAGCATCCGTTTCTAGTGATCCCTCGGGAAAACTCAATCTCCGGCACTGACGTTTTTATTGAGCTGAGTAGATGTAATAAATACAAAAAATACATTTTAAAGTGATTAGAAAGCACTTGTTACGCACAAAATATGTGCTAATGGGACTAAAGGGAATTGGTCAAATTTGTTTTCTCAGAACTGAAGGGTACTCAAAAAAATCGAGTAATTTTACGAGTCTAACCATTTGTGTAAAATTCAACTCAAAGGTTAATACATTTTTTAATTTACAATACATTTCTGCAAATATTTTCTTAGACAACCTTTTTTTAATAGTTTTATATATTCTTTCACAATATTAACGGAAAATAAAAAACTTCCAATCCAAACTTCTTTAATTTTACTAGTTTTAAAAAAAAATTTAACAGTGTTAGATAACTATGCTGGTTTTAAAATGTTGTATGTTCAATCCCTTCACAAATGTATCAAAAAATAAAATGGGAATATTGATTTAAAAAAAAAAACTGTGAATAAAATACAATACGATATGCAAATGTGCTCGTTTATGGTAACTGTCTTTTTCAATTAGTCCATGCAAGGACTCCAGTCCTTCATGCCCCACAATTCCCGGCTGGTGTCAGAATGCAAATGCAGTGTTTTAAGCCTGGCGGCAGCTTTTGCGCAAACAGATTGTAAACAAATAAATGCCGCCGGCAGACACACAGATGCATTCAGTGGTCAGTGGCCAGATTCCATTCCGGAATTCGTTCAATTCTTTATTCCACATGCACTTTACCTCACTTTTGAGCCACGTAAAGTTCAGTCTGCTGAAACCTTTTTCGCACTTAACTGGTTAAATTGGCTGTGATAAATTGTTGCCGAGTCAAAGTTGTTGGCGCTGCGGGACACCTCAAGTCACATGTGGTGGTGCGAGTGGGTGGTGCGTGGTTTTGTGGGCGGAAAGTGCGTGATAAGCCCACAACACAAGGACGCAGAAGTGAGAGGCTGACACTTTCGCATCTGCTTATTCATTGAGTGCCTGCTGCTGACAGTAATCATAACGCAGTCATCAGCTCGTAATATTACAGCCGCCTGACATATGACATCTGGGAAATGGGGAAATGGGGACCAAAGAAATGAGATGTGGACTATTAATATGCCAGTATGCGGTACCTGCAACTTAGTGAAAAAAAAAACAGTTTAATTCTTCTCTCAACTTAGTTTTTATCAGCAACAATATCGTACTTATAAGAAATACTTTAGAAAACTAAATTAAAGTCCATAAAAGATAATAAATAGCCATATGCTCTCACTAGATTTACTTTAAGTGATAAAAATACTAATTTTCAAAACGTTAAGTAAACTGCTAGAATATGCATTACTTTAAGTCAAATTATTTAAAATTTGTTTATTTTTGAGATTTAAATTTAACATTTCTCAGTAAAAAAAAAAGGACTTACAATTTTTCTCTGTGCAGTAATAGTGATAATAGTACCTAAACCCCAGCTTATAATGGGTGGCGTCTAATGGGTGATGGTTAATGTCGTGATGGTTAAGGGGTGGTTAATGGGCGGAGGGCGTGCCTGAGACTGATGGAAACCTTTTAGAAGCAGCGGCCAAATTAAATGTCTAGCCAAGTGCCGTTCGTCTTGATTAGCACTGTGGAGTTATGAGTGAGGAATGCTTTTACCTTAAAGTTTTCCAACAATTCGAACAAAGTGAGCTAGTAAGCAAATTTGCCCGCTTATCGCAAAAGTCACATCAGACAATCTTGATGTGCATATCATTTTTATGGGCAATTCATGCAAAATGCTTCCTGCAGCCAACAACACCAAGATAAACCACAATGCCAACATCGAAAATGGCGAGAAATATTTCAGCTTACATTCTTTTGTAGTACCCTACAATGTGACTTATGGACTTATGAATATTTTCCAAAAATATAGGCATACATAACAATTACATATACAAAATAGAAGAACCTATTTAAATTATATATTTATTTCTTTATAAGTTAACATATAAAAGAATTAAAAGAAACAATTATAGGTAATTTTAATAAATTTTGAAGTTAACATTGTATGGTTTACCTTAAAGAAAGATATTTCCCTAATTCACTATGGCGGCATTATGTATTTTCCTCACTCGAATTGGAGCTGTCCTTTTAGTTCCTTTTTACCCATACCCCTCACCTTAGTTGTCTTCGCTTTCCATGTATGTTTGTGCCTCGTTTTTCCTTCTAGCTTGCCGCCTGACCGACTGCATTTGCAATTTATAGGGAAATGTACACTGCGTTTCAAAGCTGTAAACCCTTTTGCACCGATTTCGCATAACTTTAGTCCACAACATTTTGTTTTAGCAAAGTACGAGTTTTAATTAATATGCAATATTAGCACAATACAAATTTACTAATTAATCAATACACTTAGCTAATAGGCTTAATAAGCCTTTTTCATAGAACCACTATTATAAAATCGGCTCTAGCTTAAAATAATAAACAATTTTATTAAAAAGATCTACAAATTACTATTTTACGAAATTTTTTTGCGGATATATACATTTTTTGCTTGCGTATTTTTTCTTTTCATTCAATTGTTTTTGAGATACAACAAAATAAATATTTTTATTTTGAACGTCGTAATTATGTTTGTATGCTGTTGTTTGTAAAACAAATGCAAAAGTGATTGTTCGGTTTTTTATTAATGAAACGAACTGTAGCCACGTGTATCTATTTGCCGTTTTTTGCCAACTGTATCTGCCGCCGAGGCAAACAATGGGAATGTAAATTGTTGCAATGTCTTTGTTTTAATTTTTCGCAGGAGCGCATATTCGGCAGGCCTGTGAAAGGATTTGTATCCTGCTGCCGTTTGTCGGTCTCCGATTTGTTGTTTTCTGTTCGTTCGGTGTTTTCTGTTTTTGCGTAACACTCGGTCTGGTGGCTTTGTAGTTCGCTTACTTTTCATTGTCACCGGCGACGCTGTCATCAATTTTTTTGTTCATTTGCATACGCGATACTGTGGTGAAAGGAGCACTTGGTGTTGGTCACATGGCCGCTGGCCATTGCACTCGACTCCGGACAGTGAGTCCGCGTCCGCGACCGAGTCCTTGTACTTGTGAGTCGTGACATTGACGTATGAATGCCTGAATACCTCGGCCCCATAAATACACTCACACAGTACGGCCAACTTGGGAAATTGGTAGTGCTTCTAGCCGGGTTCAATGGCCCACAAAATCCCCAATAAAATTGGCTTCATTAGCCGCCATTAGTCGGCTTTGTCTGTTGCCTCAAAGTGAAATTGTGCAGAAAAATACCGGGGCAGGCAGCAAAAAACGAAGCTGGACACATGGCCCTCCATCTCTTGCCCCTTGAATGCGTGCAGAGTGTCATTAAAGTTTCATCAACGCCGCAAAATGGAAATGGAACACAACAAACTCAGCTCAACTCAGCTCTTGCCAACTCCCCGAGGGCAAGGATATATACATTCAAGATGTACAAGTGGTCGGGGGAGGGGTAAGGACACTCCTGATATTGTCATTACATGCTTGGGGGATATTTCTGTGGCGTAACCAAGGCAAATGTACTTTTGACAGTCCAACTGCCGAAACTCCTGAAAGGGTTGACCAACCCTCGCCGATGACCCCGGCAACCGCAAACGGACAAAAGGCAAAAGATTTGTTTGCTCGCCGGGACAACAGCTGCTTATGCCCCCAAGTCCTTAGTCCTTCATGCTTCGTCCTTTATCGTCCTCCCCACTCGATTGCCCCAAATTGGTTTGTTTAATAGTTTCGAATCTTGTCCCACATCCCCGGCTAAGCAGCAATAAATGTTAGGTAAGCATTTAAATATTTATCAGTCAAAACTCTCGCCTGAGTATCTTGTATCGCACAGATGGCGCATCTGTTTATCTCATTCCCAACGCCTCCACTGGGTATTGGTAATTTTCGTCTTGGCCAATCAAGTCGACTTGCTAGCGTGTGTCCTAAGCTTACGCTTTTTATTTCCAAAATTGAGGCTTAGAACAATTTTAGCTGCGGCAGTAATAAACTATACAATAAATGATATAATATTTTCGAATTACCTTAAATATAGTTCATATATTTCTAATATAATAATTCTAATATAATAATTCTAATAATAATTCCATCATAAGTATGTATATTGTTTGTATGTAGTTTGAGCAACATGTTGATATGTGGGTTAGCAACATTTTGTGGAACTCATGTTGCTAGCAACAAAATTAAAATTCTAAATTAAAACAAATGTTTACCAAACAATTTCCCATATAAAACATTTTGTTTGCTTTAAAAAGCCATTAGCCATTTAGCCCCTAACATATATATATTTTTTTTTTTTATTCTGTAAATAACTTATCTCAGCTTATCCCGAGATTTAACTATCGCTTGGATTATATTATTGTGCCTAACAAAGGGGTCTTGACATCGATAAGATTGGGAGATTTTAAGGCCCCCGTGAGATAAGCATTGCCCCTCGAACAGCCATAAACTGGGGAGCGGATAGATGCAAGCGATTGCGATTCGCTGCGATTAGCATAGACAAGCGAGTGCTGTGTTTTTGCTCAGTTCAAAAAATGATCTTGACCACCACATTCGTGTGCTTTTGCCTGGCCTCGGCCTTCAACTATTTCAGGACCCGTCGGCAGCGGTTGATGATCAGGACCCTAAAAGGACCCTTCACCTGGCCACTGATGGGAGCGATGCACAAATTGCTTCTGTTAAGTCCGAAAAGTAGGTGAATCCTTAAACTTATTTCAGGAAATTGATTTCTAACTTAAGCTGAAAGATTTTTTTAAGCGCAATACCGAATACCTAACAAAATATGGTTCCTTGACTCGTTGTTGGGTCTTCCATCGCCTTTTTATTCCACTGGCCGATCTGGAGCTCAGCAGACAGCTTCTGGAAAGTGAAACGCACTTGGAGACGGGATATGAGCTGATGAAGGATTGGCTGGAAGGAGGTGTCCTCATGTGTCAACCGGATCAGTGGCAAAAGCGACATGGCTTGATCAGTGGGCTGTTTGGCAATGGGAACCTGGAACAGCTGATGGAATTGTGTCGCCAGCAGGCGGAGAAACTGTATCAGAAGTTGGTGGATCAAGCAGACCAAAAAGTATTTAATATTTGGGAATTAGTGGCTCCCAATGTCTTGGAACTGATGGTAAGGACCACCTGCGGGGCCAATCCCAGTGAGGAATATGCCAAGAATCTAGCAAAGTAGGTATTCCCAGATATTACCCATTGAGTTTGTTAACATCTCCCCGCCCTTTTCTTTTTCAGTTTAGCGGAGCTCTATAGACAACGCTTCCTCAGCCTGCAGTCTGCCAACAGGTTCAACTATTGGCTTAGTTCTCCTTTGATGAGAAGACGTCAGAATCGTTTAATAAGAAGGCTGAATGAAGTACACCAGAATCTGATAGCCCGGCACCAAAAGCAAAACAAGTTAAAGAACGGCCTTGTTTTGGTCGAGGATAATCTAGAGCCACTACCCCAAAAATGGCATGAATCCCTGCTCGACATTCTCCTGAAAAGTAGAGATCCCGAACTTACAGCTGAAGAAATCTGTGGGGAGTTGAATACCTGTAACTACCTGGGTTACCTGCTCTGCAGCTCAGCACTTTGTTTCGCTCTCGTCACAATTGCCAGAAATCCCTCAGTACAACAGAGGTGTTGGGAGGAGTTAAGATTGGCTCAGAACAAGGACCAGGGATGGGATTTGGAAAAGCTTCCTTATCTAAAAGCTGTGCTACAGGAAACTCTTCGACTCTATCCGCCACAGGTGATAGTTGGCCGGCAATTTAAGAAGGATTTTCCCTACAGTGCGTATGAGTGATATATCTTGTTTCATTCCTTTTATAGCTTAAATTCCAACAGCACATAGTATCGTGGGAGATGGAGAATTACCCTTTGGTTCCGAGATCTATATCAACCTCTATGAGCTGCAGCGTAATGAAAATCGTTATTCGAATGCCAACCACTTTGATCCCGAACGATTCCTAGGCTCCTCTCCGGAACTGCTAAGTTTTAGTCTTGGGCCTCGATGCTGTCCAGCTAGGAACTTTAGTTTTACGATACTGAAAACTCTGCTGGCCCCCATTATCAGTCAGTTTGAACTGTTGCCCTACGGCGATGAACTGCGTTTGGATTTGCGACTTATTTTAGGTTCATCCAATGGATTTCAGTTGGCTTTGAGGCCACGGAAATTTGTGTATAATACATAAATCTTACTTTGAGTTGTATAAAATCGTTTTATTAATATATATAAAGTAAGTATTTGGTATTAAGCCCATTTAATAATTTTCCGGAAAAGTCTTATATTAATCTTTTGTTGTTGAGACAATACTTTAAGTAATATTCTCTGTAAAATAATTGTGACTGTATTTTTCGAACGTATATGAGTTATCCTAGTCAGTTTAATTATAAACTATTATAAATCCCTGAACAACCCTTAATACTTATGTATTACTGCGCTTGCGCATTCCCAGCTGAAAGCCGGTATCCGATCGCAAGACGATGTTAACCACGCATTCCACTCGCTGACCCATCGGCAGAAGTTCGTACTCTCTCACAATCTTGGCCAGCATCATCTTCATCTCCAGCTGGGCAAACTTTTGACCAATGCAATTTCGTGGTCCGGCACTGAAAGGAATCATTTTAAAAGGTGCCACGCGACATCCGTCTTCGTGGCGCTCTGGAATGAACTCATCCGGGTTTGCAAAGGTCTCCGGCTGTCGATGGACTCCAAAAATACCTATTATAATCTCTGAGCCCGCTGGTATAACTCCATCCCCGTACACAGAATTCGCTGAAAGAAGGTAAAACATTTAACTTAATTTTTTCATATTGATTATTAAATTCGTAAGGACACCTACTGTACTTAAAATCAGTCTGTAGCTTGCGACCCACAATTGGCACAGGTGGATACATCCTGAGTGACTCCTTGATGACGGACTCCATGTACTTGAGTTCCCCGAGATCACGAATGCTGACTGGTCTGCTGCGATCGTTGCCCAGAACTCGCAGGATCTCCTCCAGCATCTTTTCCTGGACTTTGGGATGCCTGGAAAGCTCGTGCAGGCAGAAGGACAGAGCACTGGTGGTGGTATCATGACCCTCGAACATGAAGGTGTCCACCTCCTCGCGGATCTCGTCGTTGGTCAGTGGTTTGCCATCAACACTGGACATCAGCAGGACATCCAATAGGGCCATTCGTCGCTTGGAGCCCACATCTTCGTCAGCGGTGTCCATCATTCTGGATTGCTTCTGCTGATCCTCCAAAGCCTGACGTCGCTGTTCGATCACCTTGATGGTGAAGGCTTGCATTGTGCGGATTAGCTGCGTTTGGCGCCATTTCAAGTGCGGATGGGTGAGGGTAAACAGCAGTTCCACTTGCAGATAAACAGACATGAAGCGCCAGCTTAACAAGGCAGTGCATCTGGAAAAGTGCCGAAATTATTAGTATATTTTAAAATTATCTAAAAATTTATACACTTATAAAATAGTTAGTATATCAAGACATACATTTCTCTCTGAATTCATCCTTTTGGCTTTAGCTACTTTAAGTTTTGAAATATAAAATTGCTTAAAATGTTTAAGGTTTAAAGTGCCAAATGTTTCATTTGATAAATTTAAAATAAATTTAATTTGCTTATAAAGTAAACAGGAACCATTTTAAACCAATATTTTCAACATTAATTTGAACACTTTTTAGACTATGTGGTTTTAGCTATTTTAAGTATTGAACTATAAAATTGATTAAAATATTTAAGGTTTAAAGCGTAAAATAGGACCCATTTTCAATCCAATATTTTCAACTTTAATTCAAACATTTTAATTTAAATCAAGCAATTTAATAAGCATTTTGAATTTATGATTTTAAAATTTGAAATTTTACATTCAAAGTTTAATATTTATTTTTACTGTAGTATTTATTAGCAGTGTAAAATACAGTACTTACTCATTGACTGCCTCAGCGTAGGGTGTGCTTTCGTTAGCCTGCGCATATATCTTTGTGCCCATGGCTGTTTCGGCTATAATGTCCAAGGCGGCTGCACAAATGTTCCGATACACATCGAAGGTCTCGCCATTCGCCTTCTGCGCCAGCCTTTGGACACAAATGTTTGACTGCTGATCAAATACCTCCACAAACTGTTCGAGAATCGAAAAGTGAAACGTGGGCGTGATGATCTTGCGGCGCTGGTGCCACACTTTGCCATCGCTGAGGAGTAACCCGTTGCCAAGCCATTGTCCAAGGACCTTGTAGACCGGATGCTTCACCAGGTGCTCCTGGCTGCTCAGCAACTGCTCGTTTAACTCCACATCGTTACTCATTATCAGCAGTCGATTGAAGATCCAAACTCGCTGGAGGTGACCATATCGGCTCACATACTCACGACCCAACTCCAAAAAAGCTAAAAATTGAGAAAAAATAATTAATTAAAAAATAAAATTAAATTAAATAATGAAAAATGTAAAAAAACAGACAGAAAAATAAAATAAAAATAAGTAACCATTACATTCAAAAATGTTTACTAATAATACAAAAAGATAACAAGTTTAAAAATACCAATAAAGAAAATATATCGCTTGTTTTTATAAAGGAATTCAGATTGATAAGAACGAAAATCTATTAATGGTCAGGTTTCGTTCATAAATGGTTTAGCGATAATACAAGAGATTCCAAGGTAATCTGTGTTGTATGTTGAAAAGTTTTATTAGCTTTAGATTAAGGTTTTTAATGTTTGCTTTTACCAATACTAAAATTAGTATATTGGTATCATTAAACCTGGCTGATATTTTATAGAAGCAATTCGAAATTCTCCGTCAATAATAGCTTAAAATCTAAAGTTATTTACACGAATACGTACTACATTTCAGTGTATCCGGTTTTCTGAAAACCGGTCGACTTAAATTATAATATTTAAGCCTGAGCAAAGTAAGAATCATGCATTACATAGATAAAAAAATTATAAAAACAAGAGAGCGAGTCAAGTTGAATTTGCATTGATATTTAGTGAATACTCGTATTTTCTTATCAATAAGCGTAAAAACAGAAGCAATCACGAACAGCTTTTAAGCTTTCATTGCTGAGTCATTAAAAGCTGATGAATAATATTAAATATCTGCTACAATATTTCTCATAAAATAAATGAGAAGAGAGAAAAAAAAATGATCAGATTAATGCTTCGAAAAAAATGTAGTTTTAAATTTATATGTAATGTAATACTAAACAAGTATGGTCCTTGTTTGCAGATTCACAAAGTTTACATTATCGCAATCTATACAAAGGAGTAATTAAAAAAATATTTTCCATCGACCTGAATTCAATTTGTATAATAATTTTTTTAGCATTATTTTTATTTCATTCCAGTGAACTGCATGAGTGAGCTCCCCACAATGCCAGAAATTGAGATCGTTTGCCAATTAAATTGATCAGATAACGCATGCAATATTTTTTATATAATTATTATCCATATCTCTAATTGGTTTCAGTATATATATTTATATACTATATTTAATTATATTTTTAAAGTTTTTTCTGACAGAATTTCAACAAATGTTTATTAAAATATGAAATAAAAGTATTACATTATCCAATTGATACTTACTTTTTGGGTTCAAGCGAAGGGCTAGTTGTAGGGCGCCAATGAGCGGTGGACACACGGGTCCCGGCAAATTGGCCACTTTCCGCCGGCGATCGGCCTGGCCAAGATGGACGATCCATCCGGCGACAAAGAGCAGCACAACCAGCAATAGCAGCAGCATTTCGCACTCTGAAACGCCGATTAACCAGTCGAACGATCCGAGCGATCCGAGAGCGGCAAACGTAAATCTAATCGGATTCGGATTCAAATGTAACCCAAAGTGCAAGCAGCGAAGCTTTAGACTCTAGAGCGATAATTGTGCTAATCTGGGTAGACTATTTTAAGCTAGGGAACCACGAGTGGGTCTATTAAGCACTCGTATTCCTAGTAATTATTTTCACCGTAGCGGCTGATAGCAAGGCCCTCCAGGCGATTGACACCCGCCCTGGGTGGTGGACTTTTTTTTTAAGTAATTTCCGCTAGAGACATTCGTGCGGAAATTAAAACATTTGACCCAACTCCAGCGCAGAAAGTGCATGAATGAATGGCTAGATGGATAGATAGACGGTTGGACTCGTCAGCTGGCCAAGGGCTGCCTTCGAAAAAACTAATTAACAGCAGCTTCCTGGGGCCAGGCAACTTTGACTTTGTAATGGCATTTTATTATTTTAAACGCTCACAATATTCACAGCAGAACGAGAATGTTCACATGCAAGCGAAAAGTGTTTTTAATTGTACTCCGAATGTGGATTTTCAATTTTCACAATGACTGTTATAAATAAAATGCTTGGATATATCTCGCGATTCGTTTCGTTTCGTTCCGCTTCCTTTCAGCTGCTCCGCTGGCACAGAAAGATTTTTCGCATTAATTTTGCATATTAAAAATGCAATTTGTTGCGTTAATTGCAGCATGTGAAATGTATCGGACAATGCGAGTGATATGCGGGTATCCCAAGTCCGCTCTTCCACCCGAAATGCCCTGCCCTTTTCCACGCCAACGAAGCAGCCAAGTCACGTTGATAGCAAGTGCAAACAGGCGGACAACGAGGCGTATGCGTAATGCAAAAGAGTGCAAGAGAGTGAGTGATAAATGGATGGGTTGGCGGAAGGGGGTTTTCCACTGCCCACCGCTGGATATTAAAACTCTTTAAAGAGTGCAAGAGAATCTGATATTTTCCGCAAGGCCTGCAAATAACAAAGAAGATAACCAAATGCTTATATGTTGCATATTCACGAATTAAAAATTAGATTTTAAACTTGAAGGAAATTCAAAAGAACAAAATGTAAAAGAAATGAATGTTTACAAATTTATTATTCATTTTACTAACTGAAAAAGGCAATTTTTTAAAGAACATGTTATGTTTTTGCATTCTGTTAAATTGTTGTTATACCCTTGCAGAGGGTATTATAATTTCAGTCAGAAGTTTGCAACGCAGTGAAGGAGACGTTTCCGACCCTATAAAGTATATATATTCTTGATCAGCATCACTAGTAGAGTCGATCTAGCCATGTCCGTCTGTCCGTCTGTCCGTCCGTCTGTCCGTCCGTTTATATGCAAACTAGTCTCTCAGTTTTAAAGCTATCTGCATGAAACTTTCCCAAAAGTTGTCTTTCTATTGCAGGTAGTATATAAGTCGGAACGAGCCGGATCGGACGACTATAGCATATAGCTCCCATAGGAACAATCGGAAAAATAAATGAAAAAAATTATAACTTTGCTGTTTTTTAATTTTTTGTTTAGTTCTTCGACATATAGTAATGGTTAAATATTTCCGATTTACGGTTTAAATTTCATCAAAATCGGTCGACTATAGCATATAGCTCCCATAGGAACAATCGGAAAAATAATTGAAAAAAAATTATAACTTTGCTGTTTTTTAATTTTTTGTTTAGTTCTTCGAGATATAGTAATGGTTAAATATTTCAGAATTATGTTTTAAATTTCATCAAAATCGGACGACTATAGCATATAGCTCCCATAGGAACAATCGGAAAAATAAATGAAAAAAATTATAACTTTTCTGTTTTTTAATTTTTTGTTTAGTTCTTCGACATATAGCAATGTTTAATTATTTCAGAATTATGGTTTAAATTTTATCAAAATCGGACGTCTATATCATATAGCTCCCATAGAAATAATAAAAATATATAAAATAACTATATAATAATTGAGCTGCTAATCATCATAGTTTCAATGTTTTTCAGCATATACTCAAGTATATCATAATTTAAATGTTTTCAAAAGTATTTAATTCATGCAATAGCTGCAAGGGTATATGAACTTCGGCTTGCCGAAGTTTGCTTTCTTTCTTGTTTTTAAATTTAATTTAAGGGTTTATCTAACAGTGATCTAGTTAAAATTTGTAAAGTTATTGGTTCTTGTATAACAGAAGATGTACAGTACAAATTTGTGGTTTGAAAACAACAATTTTACCTAATGTTTATTGAAAGATTAGAAAGTAGAACCTTACCATAACATTGACAGGACGGCTCTTAGTTTTTAGCTTTTTCTGCTTATTTCGAGATAAGACGGATCGAAGAAAGGAGTATTTTTAGTTATATCTCATTTAAAGGCTTTCAAAATTGTTGGTAAAATATACGAGGAGGAAGGTGGTTGTTCCAACCATGGAACTTAAGCCCCAATTCCGTGATGCACTTCCGGTAAGTCTCTGTATCTGTGATGGCTTTAATTGTCGGGAGGGCGGATACATTTCAATGACCTTCTCGCCAAACGCTCGAATACCCGTCCACGATTCATCAGCTAAGCGGCGTATATCCCAGGTTGGTGGGAAAAACTTGTACTCCACGTGGTCCCCGCCCGTTCCCGACATCTCGAAGACAAAAGAGAGGGGGAATCCCACTTTATAGGCGTAATCCATACTGGTACCGCCGAATGTTCCGGCATATTGAGCGGCCTGCCGCGGCTTTATTACCGTGCCAGTGCTCTGAAATATTTGATCGGCGACATACTTGGCGATTTCATCGTGTTCCCCTTGATTCGGCACTGGAGTACTGCAGAGAAAACATTTTGTTTAGTATTTTTCACTTACAGAAGAACAGTTTTTAAACAGAAATCAATTCCAAATACATTTCTAGGAGAATTTTGTCTCAATCAATAATAAACAAGCCCTTATCTGTGGTAAGCTGACCTCAAAGTTGAAATATGTTTTTCTGCCTATTTATGACTATTGAAAGGATAATTTTATAATTTTGTAGCTATAAGCAGTATATCCCAACTCAACAGTTACTAAAATACTCACTATTCATAGACCCAAGGATAGAAAACCGAACGGTTGGCCGTGTGCAGGGATAGATACATGACGGCTCGCTCACTTTCCACCAGGCTGTGCATAATGTCGCGCACTGTACGTGCCTCTACCTCGGAGAATGGTTCATTTCCCGCGTAATTTTCATCGCAAGGATCTTTTAGCTCCGGAAAACCCTCTGCCCAGCCCACTTCAAAGTTCCTGTTGAGATTGGTGCCGAAACATCCGCCGCCATTTGGTTTCCTTGTGTTCCTCCAATAACGATCCTTATTGCGGGAGTATTCGTAACCATCGGGATTGGCCAGTGGCATAATGTGCCAATCGAAGTCGGCCAGGAGGTGGGCATTTTCCTCAAACTCCACCACCAACTTATTGATGGCATAGAGGGCGACAGCGGGGGTCATCCATTCCCGAGCGTGCAAGGCGGCATCCAAGAAGATCACCCTCTTTCCCTGCCGCCCGTCTCCGTTCGTTATCATGACGAGTTTCAGGGCGCGGTTCTCGTACGATCGACCCACCTCCTTTAGGGTCACCCGATCGCTGTGGGCTATGGCCAACCGATCCAGGTACGACATCACTCCGTCATAGTTGAGGTAGTCACTCAATGGAAGTCTGATAGACTTTCGCCGGCGGATGGAACTCGTCTCCGCCAGCGGACTCACAATCACCACGAGAAAGACGATCGCGCACAGGGGTCTCCACATCTTGCCGGAGAGCCACTGTTGAGGGCACTAACTCTGATCGACCTTATCGCTGTTATATATAGCTTTGGGAGATAGCTAATTAAATTATTTCTCTTTATTAAAAAGAGGTTAACAATAAAACTATCTCTCTTTATAAACAATATATATGAATGTCGCGCTGCAATTAAGCTTTGTTTTTTTACCAAACGAGTTCTCATTCTATCTACATACACACAAACATTATATTAGCATTATTTTATTCAATCCCACTCGGGCTAAAACTAATAGAAAAGGTGGTAAATTAGTTATAAAACAAATTGTACTTTGCTGCGATTTTACAAATTAAAATGTGCATTTTTTCTCTTCTGATTAATTTAAGAGGGCTTTCAATACCGTACATATTGAACACAAATGTTACCTTTTATTTGCCAAAAGCCTTATGAAATTGTTTAACCATTCTTAAAGTTATAACCAACAAAAATATAAAAAAAAAAGCTGAGCCTATAATGTAGTATAAATGAATTGAAAACAAATACGGTGTGACCTTCTCAAAAATGGTGTTGATTTGTGTAATTTATAAATATTATTAAGTCTTTCTAAGGCAAACAAATATACGCGAAAGAAATTTGATATGTAATCCAGTGTATAATATTTTTAATCACAAAAGTTAACCGCAATTATTTGAGCAATTTCAAAAAATTTTTCGGTAAGGCCGCCCTAATTGAGTTAATATTTTCTTAGGCCAAGAAAAGCCAAAGAATGCAGATGGTTAAGCAAGTTTTCACCATTTTGTAGCATTTTTGCGCAACGACTTTATCTCGCTTAGCCATTTTGCGGTTTAAGGGGCCATTAAAAAATGTAATTATGTTGATAAATACGTCTTACTGGGCATTTTGCATTTTTATTTTGCCAACTTCCCTTTGAACGATGTCCTGGCGTTGGAAAGTAGGAAAACTTTAACCGCAACAGCTAAATAAAAACAACAACTAACGGCTCGGCCTTTCTTCGCCTCTTGCTTTTTGTTAGCTGTTTCAACGTTTCAACTTTTTAGCCAACAAATTTACTTGCCATGGTCGGGCAAATATTTTATCATTGCGCCTTTTAGCACTCAAGTGGCGGACAGAAGCGGTGGCCCAAAAAGGGGCGAGACAGGAGGTCCTGCAGGATCCCGGACTAAGCTGAGTTTATGGCTTCATTTTTTGCAAATTCTAGCCTTTAGCTCCTCTTTTTTCTATTCGGAAGTTCACTTCAGGAGTTGCCGTCTCTATTCTGGTAATCATTTTGGCCATTACTTTGATGGCCGGCTAATGAAGCTATCATTTGGGCAAACTATGGATAGATAAAACCGGAGCGCACAAATTGATTATTGACTTTGGGCATTTGAGAGTTTTCGATTTGCTTCCGGCTCCCTGGGAGTTTTCTTTTCTTTTGCAAAATTAATGAGCCTGCAAAAATCTGATTTCAATTTCCCGATTACAGTTGTCAATGTGCATAATTTACGAGGAGGGGAAGAATCTTATTAGTTCATAAGGCACGCCAGTTGATGGTCCTTCGTCCTTTCAAATGCTCCTGGCTCCTTCGGTTGCCATGCGAGTCACGTAGTTTCCATGTCCGATTTTTAAGTTTGCGCTGCACAAATCACGTAACCCCTCCGCACCCCCAATTCGCATTCCCCGTCGACAAACCAAGGATCACGGACTGGTGTAAGGAGCAAAGCTAATGTCCTACTTGGGGCTATTTGTAATGTGCACTTTCTGTGGATTTTTATGATTTGTTTACGCTGCCTCCGAACGTGAGTGATAAACTGAGAGTGAACCGCAGGCGGGCCCAGTAAATCGAGGGATTCGAGCCTGTGGCCAAATGCAGCGGACATGATGCAAAAAAGTTGGCGATGCAGAAACTAAAAATACCTACAAATAAATTTTTCTTTAAATTTAAAACTATATATTTAAAAAAAAAACGTATCAAAATTTTGGTAGAATTTATGCGTTCTTTAACTTTTCTACAATACAAACTAAAATATTTCATAAACTTTAAATAAAGAAAATCTCAAATTTTTCAAGTAAAATTATTGGATGCTAAAAATTTCTACACCCAGAGAAAAACGCCGTAGCAAAATTAAACATTATTATATATAGAATATATATATAAATATAATATATTCTTCTGAAAACGTTTAAGATATCAAACATAAGTGTAATCGATCGATCAATATTTGTTCAACAATTTAATTAACAAGTACAAGTGTACGCAACAAGGTATAAAGTAAGTTAGTTAAGCTATAGTTTAGAAACCGTAATGGGTACCGAACCCATCGAAGGTCATGTGGGAGACGGTCTCCGCCGGGGAATACTGGATGACGGTGGGCTGGTGACTGTAGTGGGCGGGCTGGTGATAAACGGCGGGGGGTCTCCACATGGGCAGGTTGGTGGTACACCGAAGGAGTCGCCACCTGAGCGGGCTGATGGTACACCGGAGATGTCTGGACATGGGCAGGCTGATGGTAAACCGGCGATGCCTGGGTGAACAGATGAGATGGCTCCGGCTGAGCCTGATGGGTGTAGACTGGAGCCGGGATCGAGACTGGAACTGGCGCTGGCGCTGGGGCGTAGCTGAAGGTCTTGGCCACCGCCGGCTGGTAGACATTGTTGCTGACCCGGGTGTCCTGTTTGTGGACCTGCGAGAAGGGCGTGGCCACCGACTTGGCGTAGTGGGAGACGGTGCCGTCGAAGCTCCTGACCACATTCTGCTGGGTGTGGGCCACCGCGTGCTCATCGCCCGCATAGCTGATGCTCGGCTGGGCAATCAATCCCGCCCTGGTGGAGGCCAGCAGGAGCAGCAGGCTGGCGGCGACGCCGAGGAACTGGAAGTGAGCCATGTCGGTTGGTGGAGCTATGGGAACAACTGTGCCGTTTAAGTCGGTGGGCAGGCCATATATAGAAGACCTGACCACCGCAGTGCCAATTACTCATAATCGGGCGCACTCCTCAAACTCGTTTCAGCTTTGCCGTCTGGCTTTGCGTGACTTTCAGAAATCCATTTCTCTATCCCTCGATCGTGGCAAATCAATTTACAATTGCCCAGCTCCAAGTGACAGCCACAAAGGCGGGGGAACATATATATATGTACATATATAACTGTATACTTTATATTGGAGAAGGGCGTGTCGTCGACCCAGTTAAAAGAGACCAAGTCTTGGCCTAGGCATTGCATAATGCCGGCCGGAATCAGGTAGTAAGGTCTGTGCACTTGCCGCACTTGCTCCACATTCCATGGACTTGGCCCGCCTGATGACGGTTGCCATCACAACTTACAATTCACCGCTGAAGGGCCATCAAGTGGCCCAAACATATTGCGGCCGCGCAATTTATGGCCCATCGGAGATGCATTAACGGAGCTGCCAAATTGTTAATGCATTTTCTGTTCCATTTGCTCTTCAAGCCGCTCAATCGCAGTGTTACAGTCACAGTTACATGAAGATACGCAGCCAAATGTGGATATGTGTATCTTTAACCCTCAAGAGTGACAACAATGATGCATAATAGCCCAGTATTAATATCTTCAGCTGCCTTGTTTGATGGTGAAGAAAAACATTTTCGTTCTTTGCTTCTTTAAAATAATACATTCAGATAAAAAAGTTCAAGACTTGAGAAATCAGAAGGAAGCAATTTATATAAAGCTAATGCTTCAAAAGTTTTTCCTACTCGGCGTGGATTCGTTCCTATTTAAAAATCGTTCTCAAAAGGTCAAATACAACAACGTTTGTTTCTAAACTTACTTTAACTTACTTATTATACATACACAATAATATTTGATACAAATTTTATATATTTTTTAAGTTAAGTTGCTTAATAAACATAGAAATTACTGCCAAACAAATTTGTTTGGTAATTGGTGGGAAGAGATTTGTATGATGCTTGTTAAAAAACAAATTGATATAAAAATGCAAGACTTTAAAAGAGTTTGATAAAAACTAAACAAAAATTAAAGCTCCAAATAGACTACACCTTTACAATTCCAGCGTTGTCACTAATCTTAAATGGCTTTTTGATTTGACCTGCACTCAAATTCCGCTTTACAGTTTCCGTTTCCGTTTCTGTTTCTGCATCAATGGACCGACACTCGAGTTGAAGTTGCCCTATTGATGCGAAAGCCTCTCTTTGATTCCTTGGCTTGTCCGTAAAATCGTTCAGCTCACAATTGAGTCATAATGCAATTGGCAAACGTCAAGCAAATGTTGTTAACTTGCCCAACGAGACAGAGAATGGGAGATGGATGGATCCATCCGGATGTCCGGTTTGCAAGTGTTGGAGACATTGTTGCCTTGACTGGCGGAGCAAAAGTTTTGCGCAATGAAAATGACACACTCACACACTCATACACTCGCACACTCGCACACTCGCAAATAGCATCAGCATCAGGGCGCCAAATGTGATTACGATTACAGCGATTGCGAGCCAACTTGAGAAAGTCACCTTTGTTGGCTCCGCACTCAAGACACATATCTTTGTTGTGGGGATTAAGGAGCGGAGAGTGTGCCTGTGTGTCCATTATGGTCCTTATGAAATTCGGCACATAAATTGTATTATTGCATTTATGCTTGATTTTATTTCCCCCCACATTCGGCAATGGTTTTCTTTGCTGATTGTGTTTGAGTGTTGAATTGGCTTTCGCATTACCTATTTCTATTTTTTTTTTGGTTGCGGACTTAAGTGGATTCGTCTTCGTTTACGTCTGCATTGTCGTCTGACTGAACTTAACGTTTTATTGAACCGACAGGAATCACATGTGAGTGCTTACATTTCAACGGTTTCCTTTGCCTTTTCAACTCATGCGCCAACGCAATTTGAACTTCAATTAGCTGCATTTGGCCATGGCTAATAAACGCTTCTTTCGACTCTGCTCCTCGTGTTGATATACAATTACAAATGACGCGTCAGGGCCAGGCCGAAAGTCAATTACCAGAGTGCACTGGAAAAAATAATATCATCTCATCAGTATTTTGGACATACACAAACAATCATGTAAACAAAGAAATGAGGTTTTCAAACCTAAGTGGTTTTGCTAAAGTTTAGACATTTTTAAAACAAAAGAAATACTATTTAAATCAGATAAGGTGCTAAAATATTTTTTGTTAATTTAAAATAATATTACTTAAAGTAGGCAATACCTTTTCGTATTCCGAAAGTAAAGAATAAAGGATATAATTGGTAATAATATTTTGCCTTAGCTCAAAACTTTCATAAGAATCCATCTTAAATTTTCAACCGTGCAATTGGGAGCGAAAAGAAAGAAATGTAGCATAAAAGCCCGCGCCTTGTTGGCTAATTGGAATTGAAACATAAATTAAGCGTCCAATTCGAAGGCGAAGACGGCAGAATGCAACTAAAACTTTACGACTTCTTCACTTTGGCCAATTCCGGGCGCAACTTCCGCATTCACGTGCCGTTCTGCACTTTTACGTTTTGTCGTAATCCCCGCCAATTACGATACCACTAGTTTCCCACTTAAGTTGTTCTCGCTACTGCTGTTGCATCCACATTGACAGCTTAGATTAAGTGTTGACTATAAATTCGTACGGTTAGTTGGCGGTTGTATTTATGAGGCAAGAACAGTTGCCATTTGGCAGGTCGAAATTATTTGCTGGCAATTACAAGTGGCCAACAACACATTTTTCTCACCCCCTCCAGTTGTCCATTTGTTCTGTCGATCCTTTGATCAGGTTATATGTTAAGATTTCACTTTGATGAGGGGTCTGATTTAGGCAGAAAAGCAATAAGTTATTTATATTTATATTTTTATTTATATATTTATTTTTAAAAAAGTTGTAAGCTTGTAAACCATTTCATAAAAAACAAAATAATTTGTTGTGATACCCACTTTTAATTTTTTACAAAAAAGAGAAACTAGCAATAAAATTAAATAAACAGAGCAAACGATTTTTAAATCATAAAATATTTCATTTTTGTGATGAGGCGTCTGCTGGAATAATTTTGTAAATAAATGTTGTAATCAGGTCAAACATTTCCTATATATATCTATTATTAATCTTACAATTCGTTGTAGTTTTATATAAGAATCTCAACCACAAGCACACAGGTTAAATTTCGCCTGAATGCTAAGGTTCCTGGTGTTATATTGCCAATCAGCTGCGAAAACCACCCACTCCCTCCCCAAGAAAAGCCCCATTCCTCCCCTCCCTTTGAACGCCCGAGTTCCTTGGCTCTCCTTGCTTTATGGCACAAAGGGGACTTGGCTTCAATTTTCTTTATATTACAGCTTGATTTAATTTGACGTGAGACTTGCTCTTGGGCCCTGTTCTTGACCAGACCAAAATTAGAAATGGAATCATGCAATGCGGGGTAGCAATTCCAAACCGAATCTGATTCTGAAGTGAAACGATTGCAGGTTACAATCGGGGAAATTCAAATGTCGCTTAATGAAAATATGAACAATTGGCAAAAGCAAATGTCATTTGCCAGCTGCCAGGCACAGCGAGTTAGGGGTGGCTGATCTGCCCGATTGATATAATTTCATTAAGCGACCTTTCCCCCCAAAAAACATTTTCAATGTAGGGCCACGCCCACCGCCGCAACCCACTGTGACACTGTCAGGGTAAACTTTTGGTGCAAAAAAGGAATAAAAAGTAACTGAAAACGCTAGCTTAATAACAAATGGAAAGCGGAAAACGAGAGGGCAGTGCTGGTCGAAAAAAAAAGGAAAATGATAATGAAAATGAAAATGCATAAACAGAAATCGTTGACAAGGCGGTGGGCGGTATGTACAGAGTGCTTAGATGTAGGACTGCTGTGAGGAAAACTCATTAAAACTTTTTCACAGCCCATTTAAAAGCAATTTGTAAATTGTAAAACTTGCACTTGGCCCGCGCAAAGTCGGTGAAAAATTGTAATATTTATTGCTTATATATTCAAGCCAAGCATAACCCATATTTCAAAAGAAATGTAGACAAAAATATATTAATAGACTTAATTTTTCTTAATTAGTACATTACTTTAATTGTATATCTAAACTCTCTGTAGTTTTCTTACTCAAAATGAAAGTGGTTAAGTAAAATAAAATGCTATGAATTTAAAAATAATCCATTTCGCTCAATATAACTTATAAAACGCGTTTATTTGTAAAAGTTTTTGTATTTATATATATGTAGATCTAAAAAAAAATATTATTCACATTTTTTTTGTTTTTTTTTTAAGTTTTAAACTTTTAAACTAACAAGATTAGCAAACAGTTTAAGAAGTAATGCTTTAGTTTTTTAAATATCAAACAAAAGCTTGCTTATTAAAATTTAACAATAAAAAGTAAATTCTTTAAAATGTTTATAGAAGTTGTATACTTAAGATTTAAAACCCATTATTAAAATACAGAAAACAGTAAAATAAACATTTGCAAAAATTATCAATTGCCTTTCAAAATTTGTTAATACTTAATTTTAAATTTTTTCAGAAAATTAAATGGTCACTGCTATTTAAAAACCCTTTAAAAATTCCTACAAAGTCAATGGTGAGCTCAACAATCTGCCAGTGCCCATTTCCGTGGCATCTTTTCAGCCCGGAAAATAAGGGCTCGTCGCAATCACTTTGAGCCCGTGGAAAGGCTCACAATCGCAGACATTAAATCAAATTTCCGCACAATTCCGGCAAGGGGTATGCGAAAAATTGTGTTAGCTGCGGTTGGCTTTTCTCCGCATCCTTCTGCTTATTTTGCAGCCACTACCGATGCCACAGCGCCACTTAAATATTCAAAGCGAAAAGTTGCCCTACACCTTTGCGTCTTGGCTGACTTTCCCCTGTTTTCCGTGTTTTCTTTTCTTTATTATTCAAACGCCGCTTTTCATGTGCAGTGCCGAAAAATTCCCACAGGATGCAGTCAAAGGCAGTGGTGGGGGCTAATGCTGAAGAGGGGTTAAGGGTGGCGAGGTGGATGGGTGAATTGTAATACACATGTGCAGTTCTTTAAACGTTTTTATGGGGTTCATCCCGCATACACCCAAATTATTTAGATTCTGGGGGGATTCTAAGCTAAGCCACAAGAGACGTTCTAGCTTTTGGTTAACTTAGGGATGAAGAGGATGGTCAAAAATTTGCCAAAAATGTTAATATCAACGATGTCAATCATATTTAAAAGAACCGCGCAACCAAATGCTATCCAACACTATTTTACTCTTTGCCAGTATAGTCTGAGAAGTCTGGCTACCTTGTTGTATGTTCAATTTCTATATTCTCATTATTGGTTTGAGTATCTGAAAACAGTGTTGGATAGTATTCTATTGGTTTGCGTCAGAGGAGGATTAATTTGTGGTATTTTTAGGTATTAGGCTTGTTTATTTTGGTATTTTTTTTTCATTATCAGTACTTTTTAAGGAATAAGGCTGTGCTGTCAATTTAGCTTTTTATTTAAAAATATATGTAAAAATGAACGAGTTGTGAAGAGAAGGAACTATTTTGTTCATATTTTGCAACCCTTTATAGCCGATTCAGTGTTTTTAGCTATTTTTAATGCTGAGCCTGGCTACTCTATCGGCGGGAGATGTGGCAACACAGCCACACTGTCAAATTCCAGTAATTATTGTCCTCTGCTGTTGTTGAATTACAAACCGATTTTCCGCTTTTGCATATAAACCTAGCATATATTTGCCCGATCCGAGAGTTGGCGGTGATCCGTAGAAAGCGCTTTGGTATTTCCCGCTATCTGAGAAGTGAAAACGTGTCCGGAAAATTGAAAGGCCAGCGGCAGCGAGTGCGAGCGAGAGAGCAGGTGACAGCGACACCGACAAGATTCCCCCTCCTCTCCGCCCCCTTTTGACTGTTATTTTTGCACGGCACGGGAAAAACCGAAGGAAAAGTGTGATTTTCGAGAGATTTTGCGCCGCAGTCCAGCCGGAAAATGCTAATAAACCTTAAGGTGAAGACCTTAGATGCGCGCATCCACGAATTCAGCATCGACAATGAGGTAATATTTGAGGTTGTGTGTCCAGGCCTATGGGCTTCCACTATAGCCACATACCCCGCCCAATTCCAGCTCACAATACGCCAGTTCAAGGACCAAATAGCCGAGAAGACCAACATTGCGGCGGAGAACCAACGTATCATCTACCAGGGTCGCGTTTTGGCCGATGACAAGCAGGTGAAGGAGTACGGTGAGTCATGCCCCCGGGAGCACCCCCCAAATCGCCCACATATATCTACGCCCACGTATATGTATCTACAACCTGTGCCATTTGCAGATGTCGACGGCAAGGTGCTCCATGTGGCCGAACGTCCGCCCTTCTCTCAACGTGGTGCCAACTCCCGGAACAATGATGAACCCATGCGCCCCTTCCGGAATGTGGCGCGTCCTGCACCGCCCGGAATGCGAACTTCTCCGTACTTCCGCGCCCTCGATGGCATGCTGGTCGGCACCATGGCCATTCCCGTGAACAATGGCCCAGTGGCTGGTGTAAGTCTCAGTGCTAGATCTTCCTCAGACGGTTTTCGTAACCAAGTTTTTGTACTTTCAGACCCGCACTCCCCCGAATCGCTATCCCAACTCGTCGTCCTTCTGCATCAACCGCATCACCGTGGCCCTGCACATGATCGATTGCGCCGACAATATAGCCGCCTATCTGGAGAATCCCGCCGTGGGTCTGAACAATCAATCCCTGGACATACTGCAACGTGGTCGCTGGTCCATGGAGTCCACCGTCGTCGAGGTGGGCGTCTCCTCGACAGATCTGCCGCGCAACAACAACATTATTGACATGGTCCAGGATGCTGTGACCGCTGCTCTATCGCGGACTGGAGCCCGCAACTATACGGTGGTGCAACTGCCCACTGTTTACACCAATGAGAATGGCGAGACCAGCGAGCAACGGGCGGGAGAGGTTGCCAGTAGCGAAGGAGCAGCCACCGGAACCGCCAGCGATGCCAGTGGTGAGACCACTGCGGCCACTGTGATCATTGAGGATGTGATCGAGACAGACGACGAGGCCACCGATGGAGCCTCAGACCGTTCGGCCACGCCTACTCCAGAAACAGAGGCGGAAGGAGCAGTGGGTGGCCAGCCGGCGGCTGCTGCTGCTGCTGCTGCTGCTCCTGCTGCTGACACTCCCAGCTCCTCCAATGGGGCGGCAAATGATGCTGCAGCTGGTGGTGAAGGAGGAAACAACTCGGGACCCAGACGGCGCACTCGTCCCCAGGTTCTGGCCCAGGTTATACAGCACTATCGCGGCGTGCAAACGCGTTTGGCGCCCTTCGTGGATCGCTACTATGAGATCCTCCAAAACGATCCGACCTTCGAGGAGAGTGTGAGTCAACCAATTGTGTCTTTAGTTTAAAAGACAGAGAGACCTTCCTATTGCTTTACTGAAACCTAAAATTCCGCTTTTTAGGACACCGCTGGACGTGAGGATGCCCAGCGCATTTTCGACCGCGTATCGGAGGCTTTTCACTATCTTTCGCATGCCCAGCATGCCATTTCCGATTTGATGCTGGACTTGTCACAGCCCGGACCGCGTGTGCTCACCTGCCGACCCATTCTCGTCGAGCAGAGCGGCTACATACGCTCCAATAATATTTTCACGCCCAACTTTTTGGCAATGCCACCGGCTGTCCTCAACGACCCAATCCGTGCCTTTTCTGCTGCTGCTGCTGCTTCGGCTGTCACTCAAACGCCGCCCACATCGGCAACCACCCCAAATGCTGTGCAGGCGGCCACCGACGCCAGTCGAAGTGCGGCGGCCATGGCGGAGATTGCCAGTCGGGCCGCTGGAGCCGCTGCAGAGATGGCCGCCGGAGCTGCCAGCGCAGCGGCCGCAGCTGCTCGCGGTTTGGTCAGCGACCACGTGGAGGACCCCGTCGACGAGCCCATGGTGGCGCCGAATGCAACTGGTGCTGGTCACCAAGCTCAGCAGCAGCCACGACTCGAAATGGGTAAGAAAGCGTTGCCAAAATGCTATCTTTGTAGGCAAAATATACGATTTAGTTTGTATCAAGACGTATGGTTATATGAAAACATATTACCTTTAAGTACCGCATTATCCTTTATATACCGCCATTATCTGTTGACGATTTTCTAGATCAAACTGAAGCTCCCGAAAGAGAGCCCCGAGCAGCGCCTAGGCTGCGTGTCTATGTGCCAGTGACCTTGCCTCCGTCCAGTACGTTAAAAGTCATCTAAGTCATGGCAGACTAACTATAATTTCACTAGATCCAGTCACTGCATCCCCTGTTCGGTTCCACTTACACTCTGTTACTTTGATTCGTTTGCTGACCAGCTCCTAACCGGACTAATCCCTGCTAGCGAATTGCTGTGAAACAACTCCATTAACTGCAACTACTGCCCCTTTGCAGATCCCCAACAGGAGATGGCTCGTATAATTCAGGCAGTGGTCAACAGGGCCACCAACGAAGCAAACGATCTTCATGTGGAGTTCAACTCGCCCAACGTTATGTCGATTAATTTGCCTGTGCATGTGATGACCGCGGCAGTGCGTCAGGCACCCACTCCTGGAGCTGCCGAAGACTCTGCACCTTCGGCTCCGACTGCTGCTGAGGAATCTTCCGAAAGTGCTCCTGCAGCCGGAAGTGAAGATTCGCCGACAGCAGCCTCCACTTCGAGCGGAACACGCAGTGGGGAACAGAGGGCCAACACCTTGCCCACCACGGCCACGCAAACGCGGTCGACATCCAGACCCCAGATTCAGATTGGCGGCAACAACAACTGGGGCGGACGCATTGCTCCGACGCACACTGCTTTCGATCGCTTCCTGCCCTGCAATAGTCATCACATTCGGGAGCCAGAGCCGCTGCCCCACCACCACAACAACAACATCAGCGGTGCGGCGGCCAACATGCGCAGCACGAGCATCGCGCCCGCAGGAGGAGCAACCGTCGTCTCGCCCACATCCGCCATAGGAACTCGTCCTGGTGAGTACTTGTCGAGCCGAGCCCCACTTCATGTCCGTCACGACCCCCGCAACGCCCCACTTCATCCGCACGAATCCCACATCATCCGCACACTCACCAACCGGAGATGGGAAGCGCCAGTCAAACGAAAAGCAGTCGAATTACCCATTCTGTTATCTGACCTCCCTAGAAAGCTCACAAAAGTAGAGTTGCAATATACGAATTTCATTGACTTCACCAAATACCAAAGTCACATAATTAGAATATTTGCCATCTTGATTGCGAGAAATCCGTACCAAGTTACCAATATGTTTTTTATTCAAGCGGATTTCCGCTTAACGCGTTGATAAAATGTAAGCGGCTTTTCAGAGTCGAAAAACTATGTACAACCTTACGTTCAGTTACGCTCAGTTTTGTTTTTAAAAACAGCAGAAAACTTTGTTACATGGAAACAATATGAAATTATAAGTTTAGTAAATGTATTGTGTAAATTCGCTTAAAATTTTTTCAGTCTATTTTACTTTAAATATATAAACTTATATTATTTCTTGAAATCGGAGTAGCTAGTTTAGAGCAAAGAAATATCACAATATATGTGATATTGAATTTAGAATAGGAGATTTGCTTTTACATTGAGTTCTAGAGCAAGAGCCACTGCCCAGAGGTTCGACTGCCGACTGGCGGACTCCATCTCTGACATTAATCTCCATTCTATCCATGTCATCATTTAGTCACCTCTGGTCGCATCCAGCGCGGCAGTGCCTCCGTCCGTCCAATGTGGTCGTCGCGTCGCCAGCGTCGCGCCAGCGAGCCACTGAACAGCCTACGGCCGGCAGCCTGGGCGCAGACCCAGACCCAGACCCATACCCAGACCAACCATGTTCAAGGCGGTGGCACCACCAATGGGGCCGGAGTCGGAGCCGGAGCCGCAAGAGTGCGGCCCACGGGAGGATCGGCAATTAGTCGCGATCGGTTGGTGGCTCGAACGGCCCTCGTTGGTGGTGGCAGCACCAACGGAGGCCTGCCCTCCGCCCGACTCCAGACCGCCATCAGGAACTGGTCCAGACAATACACTAATTTTATGCTTGATAATCTGAGAAATAATGCGCAAACAGCTCCGGCAGGCAGCGCCGTCGCCGCCGTTGGAGGTTCGGCCGGCGCCCCCGCATCAGTTGCTGCACCAGGAGGAGCGGTCACAGTAGCAGCTGCTCCACCACAAGCTGCTCCAGCCACACCAGCCACTCCAGCCCATACTGGCGGTCAGTCGAGCAACCTTCGCTCTCAGCTGCGCAGCTTCCTCAACGACAGCCTTTTCGCCGGAGTGCCCATCAACGAACAGACAATCCCAGATGCCATAGGTCGTGCCCTGGAGTGGTTCGGCGAGAGTCTGGTCTATCTGCCGCAGTACGAGAGGCCGGAGTACAACTCCCGCGACTCCGTTTGCAACATCCTGCGCGTCAGCCTCCGCCTGATCATTGAGCTGTGCAGTGCGGCTCCCGGCGGAACGGACAGTGCCCAGTTCGAGCAGACACTCAAGCAGATCTGCGACCAGTTCCGCAAGCGCCTCTACAGCGTCCTCTTCTTGTGCCTGGGCAGCGCCAATGCGGAGCTCTACTGGCGCCAGCTGATGCGCCTCCTATGCGCACCCATGCGATCCAGTAAGTACATATATTCTTGTTATACAGGATACTCTTGGAGTATGGATTACAATTGCAGTGTAGAGAGTATAATTATAGAGTATAGAGTAAACTTTGTGTACAAAATTTGTATCAGGTAGTAAGAAGCGATGGCGACCCGAAGAATATGGAAACCGTATTGATCAGGATCAGTAGCTGAATCGATCTAGCTATTTGCGCTATTTGTGCTATAAACCCAAAACATTAAGATCTCGAGAACTATGAATAGTTAAGACTAAGCATGCAGGTTTCTAGTATTGCATATACAGCCCATGTTCAATTTCAATAGCTAGCTCATAGCTGATCAAATATCTACATTTTTCCGATCAAACAATTATTTATTTAAGAACTTATTAGGAAATTAAGTTTTATGTGATCAATGACGTCAATGCAAACATAAATCTTCTGACATATTTTTTTTCTCTGCCGCGCCAATAGAATTGCAAGTGATGAATATTTAATTGGAAATTGTTTTTAAATATAACGTCTATTTACCCTTTAAGAATTTTATTATAAATGTATATATTTACAATTATTTTATTCACAAAGATTATCGTACATATTTAATCAAACAAAAAAACCTTTCAACGAGGTAAATCCTTAAATTCTGATATTAATTTTTGTTCGAATAATTACAACATTTTTGTGTTGTTTTATTTTATTATAAATGTCTTGACTGTTTCTATTGACGTATTTTGCAGACAAATAGTGGTACGAATAATGGTGTTTGTTGAGTGTAATAAGTTTATCCTACAGTCAAAACCAAAATCCTTTTCAATATTCTTTAGTTTGTACTCCTGCGTCATCAGTTGTATTAATATACAATTTGCTTTTTAGATTTCCACAACGAAGCCCTGCAGTTCTTGTGCATCTACATAGACCCCACGATTCCCGCACAGACGGACACTGTGGATGCCCAACAGTTCCTGGTCCTGCGCAGCGTTCAGGCAGTCCCTCCCACAGCTGCCGAGGAAGTAAGTTTCCTCACTTTCTTCCCCCCCAAGATTCTTGTGCAAGACGTCACTAATAGTCATTCGTTGCGCCACCGCCGCTTGCCTTCAATCCACAGCAGCAGCAGCAGCCGCAGCCGCAAACTCTGGACTTGGATGTGGAGATGGCTGAATTGGCTACCAGCAGCAGCAGCAGCATCAGCTCACCCGCATTCCAAATGCCCTCCGTAATTGTGGGTTCGGAGCCCTGGCACATGAGTTTCCCCAATGACTGGTTGCCTGTGATAACGCGCGACCTGCAGACCCAGACTGAGGTAGGTCCTTCTTCCCCTCCTTCCCCGTCCAGGCCTCGTCCCACTTGAAATTAATATGCATTTGTACATGGTGCAGCAGAATAGCCGACCCCAGGCACCCTTCTCCGATGCCTACATCTCCGGAATGTCCGCCAAACGGCGCAAGATTATCCAGTCGGAGAAGCCGACGGCCAGCGTGGAGTGCCTCATCGCCAACGGAGTGCAACGGGCCATCCATGGCGTCGGCTTGGGAGGAACCGGTGGTGGTGGGGCCTCCAGTTCCTCGATCAGCACCGATGCCGTAATCGGATCCATTGCCCACGATGCCGCCATTCAGGCCTCCTACACAGATGCGGTGCGGAATAGTTTGAAGGAGCGCATTAAGCAGGATGCGGACTTTAAGCCCGGCAAGTATCCGCAGATCGCCAAGTTCGCTGAGCAAAATTAGACGACGGTTGCAGCGATGGAACCCTGGCCACCTAGTGCTTGTTGTACATTTTACTTTAAAGCATTGTATTTAATTTAGTTAATGGCTAAGTTCTGTTTAAATCGAGAGGACGACGAAGATTGCGACACCACCAATACACGGAGAGGACCTTTAGCAAATGCTTCAAACTATATAGAATAATAATATCCAACTGATATGTATCCACACACACACACACTCACACACACTTTGGGACACGACATGGAGTGCAAGCAAAAAACGCTTTTGGGGCTGCCATAAAGGAGCAAAATAAACACACATATTAACCGAAACAATGGCGATCGGAATTGGATTGAATGAATTTGGATTTGGATTTGGATGTGGATGTGGATGTGAAGATGGGACCACACACCGCGCGGAATGCTTTCAATTGTCCCAAATGGCGGTGGCGTCCCCGCGTCGCGTGACGTGGTGGAAAAGCAGACCAGAGCCGTGACGACAGCCGAATTCCAAGTTCCAGGCAAATATTTTTTGGCCGTCGCACAAATCGGCATTGACGTGAGCCGATGGCACATGATTTCTGGATGCTGGATGGCCGATGACGACCGATGCGGAATGTGCAGAGCAAGTCAAGTGGATAGCCCCGATAGCCAGAAGCATTACAGGAGGCATATCTACATCACACCACCATTTGACCAGCCCCACAACCAGCCACAATCCATCCCAATCCATCGTCATCGCATTCCGATGCCTACGCTACCCGTGTTATTGTTGTCGCCTGCAATCGAAACACGAAAAGGTGTCACATAAAAATGTTGTGAATATTTATGTGCAAAAAAAAAAAACACAAAAAAAAAAAACAAAAAAACACCGAGAATCAGCAAAAGAGAAGAAAACACATGAATAAATAATAATTATTAATATTTGCCGCTTTTCTTTTAATATTTACTCGAAATGATTGGACGCCAAAAATAGATCGGCTACGTAATCGAAGTATATTTTTATACCTACAGTTATGGATCGCAGTGCGGTACAAATGTGTAATTTCCCATCTTTCTACTGTATTTCTATCTTTAAAACGTTGTCTTTACAGTTTTCTAAAGACTATCTTTAGCTGTATTTCTGTGTTCACTGGGTTATAATAATATTACTAAATTTATTTTACTCAAGAATCAAACTCTAAAATATATATCACTGCAACACTTTTCAAAACCGTAATTATATATTTAAAAAATATGAAGCTCTCAAAACTCTTCTTAAATTACTCAATTACTCCTCGGTTACTCAAGAAAATTAAAGACAAGAGATTTTTTAGGGAAAGAAAAACCAACTGTCTACTATCAACTATTTACTATTTGGTAATGTGACGTTTTTAGGCATTCAGTGCAATAACCAAAATAGCAAATCTAACAAAGTTGGTAAAGCAGATTTTTCTTTTATCTACTTATTTCAAAAGTTTAAATCCAAAACGATTACCAACCAAATATTGATCGATTGAAATCCTGTCTGTCATTAACTGCTTTTCCATATAAGTATGTCCACATAAGCCCCCCTTAAATTTATGAACCCTGCTGTTTGTAATTAAGATAATTAAACATAATCGTGCCAAGGTTTCTGGGGAGCAGTCTGCAGTCTGCGTGGAAAATGGCGATGGATGTGTTTGGATGGGCATGGACCACAGAAGCTATCAGCGTCGTCAGCCCCCCGAAGATGCCGATGATTAATTGCGGCCAGAATTGCAGACGAGCCGGAGGAGACATCGTTGGCACGCGCAATCCGGGGAATTTGCGGAATTTGTGGCGAGCGAACGCATTTAAGGCGCCCCAGTGGTTAATTATGCATGCGGGGCCCAGAACTTCGAGATAAATTAAGCCAGCGTACAGTGGACTTTGATGCATGGCTCCTGCTCCTGCTGCTGCTGCTGCTACTGCTGCTGCTGCTGCTTTTGCCCCCTTGAAAAAATACTGAATCGCTCTGGCGCCAATGGAAAATTTTCATTTGGCCCAATCTCAATTGGGCGGCAGCAGCAGCAGAGATCCTTAAACAAGCCGGTTGCATTCAAACGCTACTAACGATCCGATCCGATACGATACGATCCGAAAGTCATAATTAAAAACATTTCTCGGCGGCGTTGAGAGTTGTGCCAGATGTCTGTGTAAAGGACAATTTATTGGGAGTGCGTAAAACAACGAGCTGCACATATGTAAGTGCCAACATGTGTCCATGATAATGATGCCCCATACATAGAACTAGGTTCCGAAGAAGTTCCCAACGGCAGCAGCAGCAGCAGCAGCAGCACAGCAGCAGCAGCAGCAACATCAGATGAAGTAGCAACTTTAGCCACTCGAAGGGGGCACAAACACGCACATCGCGATCGAGATTGAGATTGAGATGGAGATTGAGTTGCAGATATAAATGGAGATGGCGATGGCGATGACGATGGAGATTGATGCCTGGCGCCGAAAGAACAGGAACACATGTAATTGAGTGTTGTGGACAATTATAGCCAGATATCAAGTCCCCCAATTGGCCAGAAAGCCGCTCTAAAGGCGCTCGCTAGAGAGCCAAGAGATCGTAGAGAGAGAAAGAGAGAGAGAGTAAGGCCAGCACAGCAGCAACAGCAGCAGCAGCAACAGCAACACATATCGCACCGCAGCAGCAACAGCAGCGCCGGCAGCAACAGAAGGCAGCAGCATATACGAATCCTCAGCGCTTTTATTCCCACTGCCAGTCGCAAACAGACCGTGTTGGAATCAAGACGTGATCACCACCCCACATATATATGTGCACAGTGATACCGCGGTGTTCAAAAAAACAATCAACCGAGCGACCGACCAACCGATCGACCAACCAATCGACCAATCAACAAATACAATTGTTTTAGAAGATTAATTCCGAGCATCGGCGATCTATATACAAGCGGGTCAAGAGGTCTAGCCAGATAGGAGGAAGCGGAGGCGGAGCAGCTCCAGCTCTCCATATCCCATAGTCCATAAGATTCGATACGATCAACGGCAACCCAAACTAAGCGATCTTGAAGTGTTGTGCGCGCGTGTGTCTTTAATCTTTAAATCCAAAATAAAAACTAGTGGCAGTGTGGCTTTGCTTTGAAATCCGATGCCAGCGGTTCATAGAATATAGAAAATCCTGCTGGAAAACCGAGCTGCAATGGAAACCCCCGCACACACGCATATGTGCGCCTAGTGGGTAATTTCCCGAGTTCCCGAGTTTGTTTTCCGAGCTGCCTGCTCGAACAGTTGGCAATCCGTCGCCCGAGCGAGTGCAACGTGTCCTGGCATCGATAAATAAATAAAAATAAATATATAAAGAAAATCGGAAAACCGTGATTTGTGATTTGTGATTTGTAAACTGTGAACCGAACAGAGAGCCACGTAAAAAGTGTTTTCCTTCGGCCAAAGAATTGTTGTTGTGAAATCGAAGCGATTGAGTGATTGATTGATCACTCATCACAAAATGACTTCCCTCGTGTACACCGTCTTTCATTTGGCCTCGCTCCAGTGCTCAGTGCGTCCGGAGATCTCGCCCTGCACCTGCGAAACGGGCAAGGCCTGGAACCATGTGGAGCTCTCCTGCGAGAAACTGGAATCCTTCAACGCCGTAGTGGACAGCCTGGCCAATAAGCTCAATGCCGACACGCAAATCGACCTGAAAATCACGCACTCCCAACTGGACGACCTGGAAATGCGATCATTTACGGATATGAACTTCAACTTGTACAAGCTACGGATGCAATGGAACGGTCTAAGGTGAGCTGACTCATTGTTTCGGATACATTTGCCCAGGAAAGGGGGCAACATTGCTCAATAAGGGGTTTTTTTCTGGGTGTACAATCTATCTGAATGAGTTTGCTGAGTCATTATTTTCCAGAAATGTTGTGATTGTTTTTCAAATTTAATAGTTGAATATTTTGGAAAAATCTTTAATAAAATTTTAAGCTAGAATTGTTTCTTATTTACTTAAAAGCAAAGAAAGTTTCCTATGATAATTTTAAACATATTAAACTCTTATAAGTTTACCAACAAAAATATATAAGTAAGGTGTTACCAATAAATAAGGGAAAGTGGGGAAAAATAGTTTGGTGCATTGAGTTTTCCAAGTAAATATTCGCTTTTTAAAATGATTGGGAAGAATGATTTTTAAAGTAAGGTACATTATTTATTGGGGGAAAATTTGCCGCTTTGGAATCAATCAAAATACCTTTGCTGGGGAGTTCAAGGCCAGTTGGCGAGTTCCGCAGAAGGCAGAATTTTCCGCTCGGCCGGCTATCAATTTAGGTTCCTTAAACCCAATAAAAACCGAGCGAAAAATAATAATGCAGAATGTACACAAATTTCAATACGCTTATGTAAATGCACGAAAATGTGCTCCTCGGATCGGATGCCCAGGTCTTGTTTACAGCCCAGTAGATACTAAAACAATAACAATGTCGTTTGTTTACGTCAAAAAGCCCAGTGCCGCCTCATTATCTATGGCTCAATTGGGAGAAATTACTAGCGAGATGGATGTGGATGTGCATGTGTATGTAGAGGTGGAGGTGGAGCTACTGCAGTCGCATCTTAATTGCCGACCAGATGATTTAATTTTTCAATTAGGAAGTAGCATTGAATTGCTGCAAATTACCAACGATTGGATCCTATCCTTATACGCCACCGAACTAAGCATCTCTGGAGATGCGGCCGCCGCTCGAATCTTATTTATTTATTTAACTTTATTTTTTTTTATTGTTAAATTGATAACTGATAATGGCTGTGTCTTATCACCTATGAGGCATGTACATGGCCGAAGCTTTCTATGTACTCCGCCGTATGAAGCTGGCTGTATACGGCGTATACTTAATGCGTACACAAAATTGATAATTGCAGTTTATTGAAAGCGCCTTTTCAACGGCGCCTGCACGTTTTCTGTCTCTGACTCTGACTCTGACTCTGAATGAATTTCAATTCACTGTCGCATTGTGTTTTATATATTGGCAATTATAAATAACGAATATAAATATAAATGCTGTCGATCTACCACTTGCGAATATAGAAATAACATTCGAGCCTATTTCATAAGCGCTTGCCGCGGGTTCATTGATATTTGACTCCCTTGTTTTGTGGCCAGACTCGATTCAAAACAAAACATGACTCAAGATTCTTTGTGCCCAAAGAAATTCATTCAACGAAAGGTCCCCAAAAATCGAGACCCGAAAAATATTTTTCATTACTCGACTTTCACACAAGAACGGACATTTATTAATTATGGAAAGCAGAGAGCCACACAAAAATTGGCTTTGTTTTAATAAACAAACTTCTAAATGAGTAAAAAAAATAAGCTTGCTAGTGCTAGACTCATTCATGTTTATTCTTTGCTCACAAGCTGATCGTATTTTAAAAATCTTAATCTTCCATTTTTCTTGGAATTTATAAGCCATTAAATATTGACCTGTTAAGAACCGTTTTTATTACTTTTTAAAAAAAGGCTGATAGACATTCTTTTTAATACATTTGTTGATTTTTAGTTATTGAATTGTTGAAAAATATCTTAATAAATCTTTGATTCACATGTAAAATATAAAACAATTAAATTTTTTTTAAATTTGCTTAATTTAAATTTTAATATTTCCTAGAAAAAAGCATCCTCTTCAAGACGTCATTGCACATGATCGCCCTACCCCATAGATTAAACTATTCGATTTATCATCCACTAAATGCAATTTGTGTGTTTGTATGTAAGAGGGAATGATTTAATTACCCGACTTGATCGAATCAGTGTCGTGCACCATCTCCCCAATCGCCGATCTCGCCCAGAATCTAGAAGCCACAATCCAGTGGGGAGCGCGTGCCGGTGGTGCCAGTGCCTCCGATTCTGGCTGCTCGGGGAACGCTTTTTACATTGATGTCAATTTATAACAATTGACCTATTGCCTTAATATCGCGCTTTGACCAAATCATGCCAACTCAGCCAGGAAAAGTACCGCTGCCACACATGCGTATTCGTAAGCACTGCAAGAAATTGGGAACATTTTGGACTGAAAACTATAAGTAACTCAAATAATTTCACACTATTTCTATAGCTTAAATAATTTACTAAATATAAATTATTTTTATTAAGACGATTTATGAGTGTGATTCAGTCAAATGTTTTATATCGCTTATGGGACCATCAATAGTTTTTTCTGTGTAGCGGCTTCATCGCCGCGTGGAATTCCCAGAAGATTCTGTTGCCGGCGTGATCTGCTCTATTTTGTCAGGTTTTTCCAAATTTTCGTTCAGAAAGAAATATGAAATATGATTGCTAATAGAAATGGAAAATCAGTTTGATGCCTTCATGCACCAATAAAGTTCACCCAAATACGCTTTCATATGGCACATAGCATCCTAGTCCAAATGTGGACCACAGCTGAAGGCAATCTCTGATAAGAGCTACTGTTTTGACGATTTCTTTTATGAAATTGTAATCTGTTTTATGACTGGCGCCAAAAAATAATCACCACGAGTTTATGATCACTTTTAACGATCGCCCGTAATCAGCGTCCATTCGAGTGAAGTGTGTGCAACTATTGAATGGACATAAGGACATCTGGGGGAACGGTTTTAAAAAGGTTTAAACGGAGAATGGGAGAATGGGGTAGCTCTACGAGCTATGTGGCCTTTTTGATGGTCTTGTGGCTTTGGTCTTGTGCTTTCTCAGGCGATAAGAGGGTCTCATACTATGTGTGCATTATATGTTCACTCACTCGGTGATTTGTTTGAGGCTATTGCATTGCATTACCACCATTATCACTGCAGTGGCAGTGTCGCAGCCCTGAGAAAGTGCGAAAAGTGTTGACGGCTTCGCTCGCCGGATGCCTGACCAATGATTATGATAACTACTCGTACATAATTTATTGGGTGTCGGTGTCCCATGGAATATTTCCAGCTGATCTGTCTGGGCCCAAAATCGAGATAATGGTTCCGAGTAGAAACGGATTCAAGTTACTCAATTGATGCAGGAAGCAAAGTAAACAATAACAGAGCATTCAATAGCCGAAACATTACTTTCAAATGGAATGTACTCAGCTTGTTTTTGTTTTCCATATTGGGTTATGGGGTATGGTGTATGGTGTATGGGGTATGGGGTATGGTGTATGGTGTATGGGGTATCGATGGGGGTACGATTCTCTGTTCTCTCCGTGTTCGGTGGTCTTTGGTCCGGGGGTCAGTCAAGAGCGAAGCAGGCAGTCCAATTGAATTTTATTATTACGCTCAATCAATGATCAAGGGGCCAGTTTAGGTCGTGTGACAATTATACCGCTGACGTTAAGGAATTGTGGATACATCTCTGCACGCTGCCACATACTATCCACATACATTGTACCATTGTATCCATCCATCTATCGGTCCATCAGTATCTGTAGCTGTATCTGTATCTGTATCAGTATCTGTATCTAAGTGCTCAAGTTCAACGGGCTCATTATGGATACAGTAGCCGTGTGTGGAGGAGCATCCATCCATCCATCCATCCATCCAGGTCGGCCAGCTCTCTCATTACATAATCAAGGCTTGACAAGCCCAGCTCGCAGATAGAGTAGCACTCCCCATCGGAGCCGAGCCGGCAATCAATCAAGATCGTCTGGCTAAAAATAGCGCCTGCCAATCAATGTGGCTGCACTGCAGCATATATCTCTATAGAGCTATGCCAATAACGGGCGCCAAGGATGCACTTGGCACGCCATCCAGGCCCAGTTCCCATCATGAATCTGCTGTTGGCAGCCCGGCAGCCGTTTGGCGCCTCGACGGCGACAACTTAATAGCCACCTGCAGACGTCGATAAAGCCACTGATCAGGTGCAGCGGAGCGGGGCGCTTCTGGAGGCCGTAGCCCCTGATAAGGCTGCGTCATCAGGTCCAAAGATAGACCAGGGATGCGAAACTTGATACGGCCCATTCAAAACTAATTACGGGCTTGAATCGCTGCCATGGCGTGAATCAGATTATTGGGGCATTGCACTTAAGCCAAAGCTATTTGCCTCTTCGAAAATTAGAAAATCTTATGGTCATAAGTCATTAAAACAATGATAATGAATTGGCCACTTTAAAAGTTTAAGTTATTACCAAGATTTTAAAAGCATATGTATTTACTTTTTCCTTTTATGAACTTTTATTTTATCAACTTTTATTTTAGCCTTATCATATCTCCTTATTCCGCACGCTTGAAACATTATTCATTGTCCAATAAATATACGACGGAGTTATAAAAATGTCGTCAGCAGTTTTATGTTATCTGCTAAATATGTTATTTTATAGGCCATTAAAACTAAGAAGATTCTTTTGCAATACGAGTGCAAGCTTAATATTATCACTTTCTTGGGAAATACCTTTCTATTGGTAAACTGAAATACTAAATTATATGGTTATAATTATAATTATCATAATTATAATTTCAAGCGAAAGAAAGTCCTTAAAGATTCTTAGTTATTTATGGTTCGTAAGACTAGGTTCTAGAAAACCAATTCGATAATTATATTTTAATATTTTTATTGAAGATTCTTGGCTTGTTTGTTTTTAAGCCAAGGCTCTAGAAACTCTATTCAGAAGATCTGTTGTTGTATAATTTAACGTCCTGTTTTCATTTATTAAATAAGGTTTGCTTGGTATCTATAATATCTTTATTGGTAGTGGAGTTTCTACTAATGGTATTTGATGATTCATTGATTAATTTGTACTATAATTTTAATAATCATTTAAATGACAGTTCCTGATTACTTCTCGTAGTATTTGGGCTTTAACTAGATTTTAATGTTTTTAAATGGGAAATCTTTTATCTCCGATTCGGCGCTCTCCTTCTAATAATACGAAATTGTAATGGATTTGCTTTATTTTCTTTTTGTGGCTATTTATAGATCGCTGCCCGAGGTGCCGTTCCGCGGGTTATCGAATGTCACCTACCTAAGCATCGGCGACAACGAACTCGACGAGATCCCGAAGCACGCCTTGAGCCACATGCCGAGCCTGCTGACGCTGGACATTGGGCGGTGCAACATACGGGCGGTGCAGCAGGAGGACTTTCGGGGCATCCAGCGGGTGACGAACCTGATCCTGGTGAGCAACATCATCACGCGGCTGGACAGAGGCTCCTTTCCGCAGAGCCTGCTGATCCTGCACCTGGGCAGAAACCAACTGGAGTCGCTGAATGGATCGCTGCACGACCTGGACAACCTGCAGTCGCTGTTCATCAATGCGAACAACATCACATCGCTGGACGGCGAACTGCCGGACGGCAGTCAGTTGCGCCTGCTGATGGCCCACAACAACCGGCTGGAACGATTGCCGGCCAACATGGCCGGCATGCACAGCCTGGAGACGATGCACATACAGTGCAACCAGCTGAGGTCCTTCGACCGTGTGCTCCGCAACGCCGTCAATCTGTCCGAGGTCATGGCCGAGAACAACGAGCTGGAGTATTTGGCCCAGGACGAATTCGGCTCGTGCTCCAAGGTGGAGACCCTGCAGATGGGCTGCAATCACATCCGATCGCTGAACTCCTCGCTGCTGCCCATCCTCAAGCTGAAGACGGCCAACTTCTCCTTCAACGACATTGAGGAGTTCTCCATGGCGGAGCTGCACGGACTGCGCTCGCTGAAGACCCTCCAACTGTCCAGCAATCGCATCCAACGACTGCTTCCCGATCCCCGGGGAGTGCAGGATCTGATGCTTGTCAATCTGGACCTCGATAACAACAGAATCGATTCCCTGAATGGAGCTTTGGCCGGCCTGGGTAATCTCCGGATACTCAATCTGGCCGGGAACCGATTGGAGCACCTCCAGGTGGGCGATTTTGATGGCATGATCCGGCTGGATATACTCGACCTCACCGGCAACCAGCTGGCGGAGCTCAAGCCCTTGGAAATGGTGAGTAGATAACCCTGAACTTGTATATCAAATATGGTTTATTAAATAATTTAAATGATTCTTTTGTAGACCTTGTTGCCCAGCCTGAAGATCCTCAAGGTGGCGTACAACAACATTACCAAACTGGAGCAGGACTTCAAGGGTCTGCCCGTTCTGTGCCAGGCCAACCTGACCAACAACCAGATCTCGACCATTTCGAGCGAACTCGTCACCAACACGCGCTGCAAAAATCACAATGTTCCCGGCAAACTGGAGATTCATCTAGATGGTATGTCAATAAATGGGCTATTAATGATGTACTCGGAATTTTCATAGAAAATGGTCTTAAACTAAATATATTGAGTAACTTTATAAAACATGATTATAGTTTTTTTGTAACTAATTTAAATTTAATAAAATATTTAAGGCTTTGACCCTATATGGCAATTTATAAATTGTAATAAGAGCTTATACTTTATAAGTAAATTGATGACAAGAGCGTAAAAAGTTAATTAGTATTATTGATTCAAAGCTGTGTCATAAAAGTAAATCCATTAAGAAGTTCACTTTTATGACACAGCTATTAATCAAAATTCCAAAGCTCTTAGAGAATAAATACTTTGTTTTGCATGATTATTTACCATATAGAACTAAACTATGCTTAGTTAGGTTTTTTAGGTATTTAAAATTACTATGATTTTGGTACCTAAAACTCCTAACCAAGGTTTTTTATAATCTTATTCCTAATAATATGCTTAAAGGTTTAATGTTTATATGGCGATTAAAGGCTTAAGTCCAGTCACTAATCTATATAGTTAATACAAATTCAAAACAAAGTATGGATTCTTTAAGGGTTTGGTAAACTTTAAAGTTAATTAAATTAATGTAGTATAAGCACCTAGTTACTAGACTTTCTTGTTTTTTTTTTAATCTGAACCGATATCACTCCACAGACAATCCCATAATGTGTGACGTGCGCCTGAACGAGCTGTGTCGTCTGATGGCGGTCCAGGAGGCCCGAATCCGGGGTCGATCCCAGTGCTTCGAGAACGACCAGGAGGTGTGCACTGTGCTGCCAATGCTGTACAAGGTGGACCTGCCCATAATGGTGACCAATCTGAAGTTGGGCGGACGCGAGGATGCCAAACCGGTGATGCAGATGCTCGTGCCGCAGCTGATCAAGGCCAATGATGAGCTCCTGCCGCCGATCATTTCCACTCTTGGCAATCCGGTGCTCATTGGCACCACTCTGATCAATCCGGTGATTTCGCCTCTGCCGGTACCGCTCCTGCTGACCACCACTCCGCCACCGCCACCTCTGCCACTTCCCCTTCCCGTGGAGCCGGAAGTGGAGAAGAATGAATCCACCACGGCCAATCCTATTACCACTAGCAGCACAGAGGAGTCCACAACCTCGACAACGACCACGACAATGACCACGACGACGACCACAAGCGCCTCGACGACGACCACAGAGGCCAGCAGTCCGGTCATCACGCCGACCGAGGTGATAACCACCACTGCACCCACCACCACGACCACCAGCACCACGACGCCCAAACCCAATGAAACGCTGCCCGTGATTGTGGAGCTCCAGGAGCCCAATCCGCCGGGCACTCCGCTCAACCAAACGGTTGTGGTGGACGGGGCCCAGGATAAGGCAGATGCTCTGGTGCCGCCGGCTGTTCAGGATCCTCTGCAGCAGGAGCTGGAAAGGGAGAGTGAGAGGCAGATGCAGAGGGAAAAGGAGAGAGAGAGGGAGAGGGAAAGGGATCTGGAGCGGGATCTGGACCACGAGGCGGTGGCCAAGACCGAGTACGAGACGGTCGAGTACATCCCCAATCTGGTGCAGCCGCCGCCGGTGGGCAGTGAGGCACTGACGCCGCCGCCCAGCAAGGCGAACGCCCTCGAGGAGGACTCCGAGTCCGTGCACTCGAACTCCGTGCATGCGGAGTACCCGCAGAGCCTCCAGATACCCGAGGAGCCGCCGGAGGAGTGAGGCCTCCGCTCCAGGGGGTTCTCGGGCTCATCGGGCTCATCGAGCTCCTCGGGGGAAGTCGCCCGAAAAACAAAACACATTATTCTACTGTAAATCGCAGACGGACGGAGGAGGCGGATTCGATGGAGATCGGAGCAGCGGATCAGCGGATCAGCGGATTAGCGGATTAGCGGAGCAGCATGCAAACGGCGGATCTGTATGCCTTAAGTTAACTTAGTTCTTATGCTTTATTTAAGCCATCGCTAAATCGAACAGTTTGTCGGACCGAACGCTTTTTTGTTGAGTTTTTTTTCGTCGATTTTCTTGCAAAACTCGATCACGATTTCTCGGGGGTTCAATGACCCAGGAAACAGGACGAACGTACGAGGACAGTCTTATGATTTAAGCTTATTTGTTGGGGGCTCAATTTCGCGATGTGTGTGTTTTGGCGTTGGCAGGCGGGCATTTTTTGGGCTTTTTAATTTTACGAAATATTTTTTGGGAAGCTTGCTAAAGTGTTTGTGTATTTATTACCACCTTAATTTAAAGAAAAAAACCAAATTAAGTTGAAATTAAAAACATCACTATTGGGAAAGTTGAAATACATAGAATGACAGAGAACAAATGAATTGAAATTTAAACCCTTGTAAGAATCGCAGAAAATCCGTTAAATTGATAACCAAAAAATAACCCGTAGAAACAGAAAGGTGGCGATATCGTATATGCAACTGCATATGCAAATTATCTATATTTAATAACTGTATACACGTATGAACGTTGAATATCTACACGTAGGTACTTAGAGTTAAACGACAGCAAAAACAAATCGCATCGAGCTAATGTTAATAACGAAAAGCACTCACTCACATACAAACACACAAAACCACATACACAAACAAACACAAACCGTAGCCGTGCACATGCACAAATTGAAAAAAGAATAAAAACAACAAAAAAAATACGAGAATAAAATATTGTTATCAGTTCGTTAACAAAATGAGAAAATAGATTTTAGCGTGTAATTATATAAAAATGAAAATGGTATTCTAAATAAAATCGTAAATAAAAACTGAGTTTGGTTGCAATTTTAATTTGTTTATTGAAGGGGCTTTAAAACAGAACACTTTAATATAAATTAAAAGAAAGAGTTCTCAGGAACCAAAGGCACTATCCAGAAAAGTGGAAATTGATTTATTGTTGACCATATCTTTTGTCCATATCTCAACTTTCTTGGACCATTCGACTAAATAAATACACTTTTTAAATGTTTCATCCAGGTAGTTTGCCAGTCTTTTTTTATTTCAGCGTGACGAATGGGAACATTTAAAAAGTTTCCTTTTTTTATTCAATTTGCATAACTTCGTTGTTTTTAAGATATTTGCTTACATCTTGTTAAATTGTTTGCATAGTATCCGATTTCATTCAAGTTTGATTAAAATTAAAATAAGCTAGTTTTTAGAAAGTTGTAGAAACTATTTTTAAAAAATAGTTCCAGAAATCTAAAACAAATCCATAAAAATATTTGATACTGCCAGATACTGAAAAATTTTCATTTAGAGATATACAAAAAATGTATTTTTTAAATAATCGGAATTTGGCTCAAGTTCGACGCTTATTTTTATGAAAATGTAAACGAAACTGCTAAAAAAGTGGGATATTTTACCATAAGAACTACGCTTAAAAAATTTTAAGCATGCCACTTTCACCGCCCCTTTTTCCTGAACCAATTAATTTTCCTAAAGTATTGGTATGCACTCCTTATTCTTTTAGCGATACCTTTCGATTGGTATTACTCATTAAGATCAGATCATGACAGCAGAATTTTAATTCTGCAGCTATATATATAGTAGTCCCTTGGTGCGCATCATCAAAACATGTACTTTTATAAATGTACATATATAAGTGTAATATAGTTTTTATTGGATATTGTTTATGTGTATGTGTTTGGGTTTAACATGTACTGATTAATTCTCCGCCATTGTATCACGTCTTTCGACTTAATTCATCTCCTTGAAGCGCCTGCGTTCGCGCTCACGGAATTCGCGACGAGCGGCCGGTGGTTTGCCCTGGATTTTACGGATAACAAACTCCTGTTCGCAGTATATTTGTGGATTGTAAGTCGGAGTCGGCGGCTCGGCGTCCCAATCCTCGCTGGATTCGACAACAAAGTCACTGGCACGTGGTTCCACAGGCGGCAGCATATCCGGCAACTTGTGGCGCTCTAAGGACGACCGGTTCGGGCATTCGATGACATGTTTTTGCATGTTGCCAACAGATAACAAATGGTTTGAATTAAACGGACATCTAACCATCTTAGATGAGGAATGATTCTTAGCACAGCGGATCAAATGATTGGCCAAACGAATCGGCGTTATACGATGGACGCTATCATAGGGGCACACGATGTACTCTTCAAAATTCGGACCACCCACAAAGTAGTTTTTTTCAGACATCTTGAGCACTTTTAACTGCTGAACCTCAACAAATTTTTGTTTTATTTTGTTCTTAGGTCTCTTCGGCGCCGATATTAAAATTGAAGTGAAATTTCCGACTTGCTTGTCACAAAGTATCGAAAACGTACTAGATTATCCTCAATATTGTATGCCAAAAAACAGCTTTAAAAAATTATCGATTTCTGGTAACAATATAACGCGGTTCATTTATAAAGAAAACATAAAGATTGCTGATTTATTTATTTAAACTTGGATTCACAATACAACGTAATATGAAAATGGAGTAGGTTTCTAGGCATCAAGTTTTGTGACGAGAAATAAATAAGCATTCGACTAAATAAAAACACTTTTTAAATATTTCCATTCGTAAAACCTTTTTAATGACATACCGTACTTGTTCTGTAGCTTTGCAAGTTTAGAATTAGGAGCCGTGCATAGTTTAGCTGTTTTGAGCGATTTTCTGCTAAATAAGTTGTATTTACAAAAGTCGTAGAACAATTAGCAATTCAATTAAAAAATGCAAAACTTGAAAACTATTTATTACTATTAAGATTAAATAAACATTTATGCTGCGTAAATATATATTTTTGTAAAACGGTAAACGAATTTGTTTGTAGAGCCTTTATTAATATTGTAAAATTTAAATAAAATTGGTTCTAGGTTTAAATAGCCGACTGTTTATAAAAAAAATACAATAACGGAATGATTTCCGATCTCTGGCAAAAACATGGCGGAAAAAAACGAAATGGTTTGAGTCAGCGATATTCAAATTCACCACATCGATCGTTAGTGGGGACTTACTCCGCATTTAGCGAAGACTTGCTCCACAGTTAGCGAAGACACGTAAGAGATATTTATTTCAATAGTTCCGACCATTAAAAAGGTAATTATTTATTATATACGCTGGCACTTGTGTTTAACTTATCATTTTAAACTGATTATGCAACAGCCCATGCCATTCCTAGTTCTTTCGTGGGAGCTGGGCCCAAGGGATGCGAAGATAATTAAATTAATTTAATGGTCGAATTTCAAATTCAAATTCTATTCAAAGTGTGACCGCATTGGGAAAACATCGATTATTCCTGCCCGTAATCGATATGCCAAAATCGATGTTTACAGAAAATCCACGATATCGATGTTTGGCAGGGATTATCGATGTTTTTCCACCTCTAAATCAAACGAAAGAAAAGCGGAGAAAGAAATAATAATTCGTGTTTTGTGTGCAAAGTGCAAAAGGTAAATAAGCTGTAATATCTCCGCCGTCGAGACCCTTAGAAACCCGAATAAGTGCCAGGACTTTGGATATCCAATCCGTGCGCGTAGCTTTGCTGATTTTTCCTTTTGTTGACGTCGCATTGTCGTCATCGTCATCTTGTGACTGTGTCTATTCGAGTCCGAAAAAGAAAAAAAAGAAAGTCGTAAAATATAGAAAAGAAAACTAGTAGGGGAGGAGGAGTCGCACACATAGCCACAGACACACGGAGCCCCCACTCGCAGACACACACGGCAAACACTCACACACACACACACACTCAGGCGAACTGCAGTGAAGCAACAAAAACAACAATAAACACAACAACATTGCAGGTGAGCGAAAGAGTAAGTGGGAGGGGGCCACAAACATATTTCTCTCTCTCTCTTTATTTCTTTTAATGATTACCATAATTATACATAGATCCCCAATGCCTAAATGTAATTCCCCGCTAACAGTTTAAACTATGTTTATTGATAACGCTTCTTTGGTTTTTTGTGTTTTTAATTTGATAAGTGCCGTTAGCCGGTCGAATGATTAGTCATAGTTCCAGGGTTGCCAGGGGCGTAGGCGCAAACAGGTTTAGGTATGCAAGGGGGGCGTATGAGTAATGAATGAAGTTTCGCACTTTTGCGGCCCCCATCAGTTGTGTGTGTGTATGAGTAGTTTGAGTGACACAAATGAAATCTAATCGCATTTCTGACTCGTTATCATACGCACACAGCCACAATCAGCACCCATGTTGTCGTGAATTCGTCGGTACATACACGATACCTATGTAACGTACGCCCGCATTTACAACAGATGCAGCAACTTTGGGGAAATGCAACAGGGGCGGTGGGTGGCGGGAATTAAGGAGAGGCCAGGCGATCAAGTTGCACAGTGGGCAGCATCATCAAGCGAGCAGCGAGCAGCGACCTTCGCCGTCAGTGGTTAACCCATTTCACCTGTTTGTTTGGCTAATATAAAAACATCTCAAAAGCACAGATAACCGTTAACCAAAAGCAAACATTTCACCTGCGAAAGAAGCGTATCTTCAGACAGTAAAAATTCCTTAATGATCGAGCCATAAAACAATTCTTTATAAAAACAAGCAGAAGTAAAAGAAAGAAATTTCCATTCATATGTTATCTGAAAGTAAAAAAATTCTTTCAGAAATATGCAACTTCATTAAAGTATGTAATTCTAAGATAAGGCAATCAAACATTCTAAAAACAAAAAAATCAAGCTAGCATTGGAGGTTCTACATGTCTAAAGGCAACTTGAAATTCATGAGAATCAACATGAATTGGTCAGCCAAAAACAGAACAGAAACGGTCAGAAGGTCAACTGATAAGGTGTTAATGCTTATGATTAGGTTTAAAGCGTTCTACATATTATGTGAATAAACAAAAAATTTGCAATTCAAATTCTAGAAAACTTTTTTTAATTTTGTTAGGATTATAAATCTTAGAAGATTACATTTTTTGAGATAGTCTGAGTTTAAGAAATGATAAGATTAAATGTTTCACAGTCATTTTGAAGAAGACCGCTTTTTGAGTTATAGAAACATTAAAATATATATGTAGATCAAAATATAAGAAAGAAAGGAAGATGTATTTACCCGAACAGAACAATCTTTTATGGGGCTACTGACAGGCTTTCATCAATATTTCACCTTAGCGGAAGCATGCTAAACGTCTGACAATAATGCTCGCCAAACAGCCTCGTGGATGTGGAATATTTTGCTCGCCTGTAATTGCTTTTAGATATAACAAGCGATCCCGGAGCGATCAGTTCCAACGCGCATATCAATCGGGCAACACATCGCACAGAGCACCTTCTCCTTGACAGTTTAGTTCGGTGTTTGGAGCGTGTTGCGTAGCGTTTTTGCTGCGTTCATTGAACCGCTGCCGTCAAGGCTCTCTGCCTTGGAACAAAAGTGAATCGCAACTCGTTCAGCATTGTTTGTTTTGATACCCACACAAGCGTACCTATATTTTTGGCAATAAAACGGCGACGTTTTGCCGAAAGTCAAGTGCTTAAACACAAAGAAAGCTTCGCTACCTCCCTCGCACACTTGGCCGTTTGGCTGTCTGGCATTCAATTTGCTCAAGTTCAGGCAACCACCATAACAAAAACAGACCAGCACCACACACCCCGCACCACCCAGTTTTTCTTGACTCTTGCACTTCATTTGCGTAGTTTTTTCGCCTTCTTACTGCGCGACATTTAATTAAATTATTTCGCCCTCTTCAGGCGGAATGAAAACAAACAAACAAACAGCTCTTTTTCGCAGTGCATCGTTACTAGAGCGTCGTCTGTGGATCGGTCAATGAATTTCACTCCCCGGATACGAGAATTCCCCCACATTATCACTTGGTCTCTCGCATAGCTCGAATACTTGCGAAACGGGTTTATCTGTGAGTTACAGTTTTGAGACGGGTTCTCGATGGAGTTTCGTGGTTGCCGGTTCTCTTCGATATGTGTCATTTGGGTTGTTTACACGAAACACAAACCAAAATAAATATATCTGTATGCATACATAGTAAAATATGTCATCGGGTAACTACAATGACTCTCCAGTTATAAACTGATACAAGCATTTTGACCTTCTCCGAAGTATTTGCAGACTCAGTGAGTTTTTAGCGTTTTAGTTGGGAATAATTTAAATCTTAATTGTAAAGTAATGGGGTTTGATTGCTCGATATTTGTTGTTTTCCTAAAATGCAAGATACGCACAGTGACGAAATGCGGTTATATCTACTTTTGTTTTCCAAAAACAGTCGTAAAACAAGTCGTGTTACATACTTAGTACATATGTGCGTTTTTATCTTATCCGTAATTAGCTTTCATTTGGTTGCCATATATTCTCGCTCTTCTTTATGGTTGTTAAACCGCATTATTCTAAATTCTTTTCAAAGAACGTTTGCCACTTTTGCCAGCGAATCGATAACAATTTGATTATCTTGTGTGCATTTTTTTTCATTTAAAAATAGACATGCACCGCGGCAAAGAAAGGGGGAAAATCAATTCATTTGCTATAATTTCTCGCTGTGGTTGTTGGTTGCCGTTTAATGCATAATGCAGCTTAGGCTGAAAATTTGCATATCCAGACATGGACGTAGACGACTGTCTGTACACGGCGAGCACTCTGCTTCACTTTTATTTGTTGTTCCTTGGCTATTTTGCATTTGTGCGGCTTCTTGTTTCCGTCTGCCATGGGTTAAGTTCAAGCAAATGGATTGAATACATTGGGGTTTATTCGCTAAAAGAAAGAGTTCGTCGGACGCCTAATTGCGATACTGGAAACGGGAATATACATTATTTTGTTGTGTTAAGGAAAATTATCAAAATGTTTACTGTTATCATAAAAAAGTTTTATATTCAATGTTCTGTTGTAAATACCTCCAAGTATTTTATTTATTTAAAGTGTCCTTAATTGTAAAAAATTACCCATTGTAAATAATATTTGTGTTTTTTATGGCTTACTTATTTTATTTATATGATCTGTTTTTATTTTAAATAAATTTTTTGGAATTGTAAAAAAAAAATTTTAATTTGTACGATTATTTAAATATTTGTTTTACCTCTTTTTAACGTCTTACTCGTCCCTACGCCTTTAATACATGTTTATTGTTGAGTGTACTAGTCAGTCGCATTGGAAATGTAAAGGGAATTACTCTTGTGTTGTTTTTCTTTTTATCTGCATTTTGTTTGCCCGCAAATTGAATTATTTCCTCTAGGAGGTCTAAAAACTGGATGGGTC